TTTTGCACAGCGCGAACACATATTAGTCTTCAAAAAAAAAACTGCTATCATAAACATCTAAGGAAATCTAGGGAATTTTTTTTACTTCAGAGAGGGAAAAAGTGGCTCCGCAGGTTGGCAGCACTGCTGAGGGATGACGGCCACCATAGATTTACTTCCGTAGCTCAGTGGTATAGAGCACTTGACGCGTTATTTAATTTGAAGGTCGCGGGTTTGGTCCCTGATGGTGGCAAGTTATCTTTTCGTCCACTTCACATTTACATTACAATTTCTGCTAATACCATCCTTCCTTCATTGTAAGATTTCATTAATACAGTGAAACACCAATGTATTTCGACACGAATTTATCTAGGAATGTCTAAAAAAGTAGGGGTAACTCGAAATTCATTCCCCAATGCATTCGACTGCCGAAGTAATCGAATTTGCGATTGTACAGTAAACCAAACAGCTTGTTATTAACAAACATGTATTCATGAAGCATTCAACGGCTAGTTACAAATAGTCTTTACTACTTCATGCAGATAATGCCCACATAATGCCCACCTCCTTGGAGAGCATACGTTACACCATCATCTTAGTTGAATGTTATTTATATAGTGTACTTGTTTGCACACTGTACTCCAGCAGAAAAAGATATCTACACGATCTGCGATTATCCCAGTCTTATGTGATCAGATTGTTTCATGACAGCAAACTCCCCGATTTATTCACGTCAAATAACTTTTCTGCAATCCTCTTGAAGGTTATCCAGGATGTTTGCTACTTCTTATTTGCTCTTTTGTGGGTGAAACTTGAGGAGAGGAAAAATCGGCCGTGTTGGTCATCCTTCATTGCATCGCTTGCTGCACAGTCCTTAAATTTTCGGTTGCTCCAAGTTGCTATCCTATATGTTGAACCTGCCACAATGCAACATATACACATTGCTTTTAAAGGGAATTAGCAGGCTTCCGGCACGATTTGGCAATGCCTGCCATGTGCGCTCAATAGTATTTACATTTGGTCGGTTTATTTCTTTTCACTTTAGCAGGATGCCATGTTACTGACCAAGTACTCTCACAGACTACAAGACCCACAATACTATTCATTCATCGCCCGCATTGATAACGATGCAACATTATTTTTTAAAAACCGTTTTGGAATAATTTTTGTAACTTCAGATACGCCATTTCTTTTTTAAAAGATGGTTTTTGGGAATAAACAGATATCAGATTCAACAAAAACATAAAACCAGTCTTTCGATGCTTCATAAAACTCGCAGTCATCTTTAAAAAGAACTAGTGAACACGTGAAATTCCTGGTCAGTGTAACGTCAGTACTAGGTATATATAGGTAGTATGAAATAAAACCACGATATAATTATGAGACCCGCCGTAGTAAGGTGGGGCGCGGGCTCAGAAAATATCAACCATCTGGGGGTTTTTACCATCCACGGGTGTTTGCATTTCGCCCCTGCCGAAATGCGGCGGGAGCGAAAGGCACTATCCTTACTTTTGGCCACTCTGTAATGCAGTGATCTTTGCTAAAAGTAAAATTACCATACTTCCACTTTACAGTCATATGTTGCAACAAGTTTTTTTTTTGTTTGTTCTGCTTCCTTTTCTTCACAGCACAAAATGGGGAAAAAAGAAAAAAAGAACAAAAGTGACATGGTAAAAACAAAATGCGCAGGCTCCCAAAGACCATAAAGCGAGCATTCTGTACATTCTTGCAGGTGTTAAAAGGCTCAGCGAATTGTGCCTTGCCTACCGATGGCATTTCAAGCACCACTTTTCGCTAACCATCATGTCTCATCAAAATGCTATCTGGATTCAACATTGAAAGGAAACTTAGAATACAAGGTTATAATCGTTAGAGGCTAGTTTGTCTAACACTTGAACAACTGCAAGTGAACTTATTCAGAATCAAACTGGTTAAATTTGCCACTGTAATTCTGGTAGATCCTACGTGAGCGAAACCGATGGATTGCGAGACACCCAGATACATGCAATTACTCAATCTCTTCAAATTTCACGTGTGGCCGGGAAGCCACACTTGAAGGTTCCACGTGAGCCTCTACTAATATTAAAGGGATCACATAAAAAACGATTTTTTCGTATTAGCAAATTAAAGTTCCACAATATCAAAGCACCAGACTTGCTGCGAAAAGATGCCTGGTAAGCGAGATAACGCACAAAGAAAATGCATGAGGTCCCGCCACCTGGAGTGCCCGCACCAACTTCTGGCCTAGAAGAAATTCAAAGAGTCTACTGGGGCATATAAATTTCTCAATCGGTAAACATGAAATACACTGTCCTCTGAAGTGGCCACACGCTTAGCCTGCCAAGCTTCAGAAAATTCTTTCACTGTGGCCTTTCAAAAAAAAAAAAAAGAGGAATCTTATGCCACGTTGACATTCACGTCTATTGATTTGGCGCGAAATTTAAATATGAAACTACTAATTTTTTTAACGAACTTATAATCGTGACCTTAGCAACAGACTACTATACAATGTATTCAAAAAAACTACTATTCAAATTTATACATTCGTTCATTTAGTGTCGCCCCTCTTTTTAATCTTTTGAACGTTTGACTGTGATCAAACAAGCAACAATTGCAGTATGTTGCCCCATAAGATCACTTTGAATTGCCGCAATGCAAGCAGTGTTATGTTACTTGATCAGGATCAGTACATTGGCTTGCCTGCTGCAGCCATGTATCTGGTGAATTAACAGAAACGGGCTTCCTGTATATGTCACCTTCCTGTACAACTTCAGTAGACATCGCCGATAAGATCCACAGGTGCTAATATGCTAGTAGCGAGCTTTCTGCGATGACTTTTCAATAGTCAGCCCATTGCCTCAGCTGCACCAGAGCAACTAGAATACTCTAGTCGTATATTTCATCAATATATCTCACAGGAGATGCTGGTTTGGTTGAAGGTTGAGCTAGCCATCATGAGTCATGACCTTGACCACTTTATTTTCTTGCTTCTGCCAACTTGCTGCACTGATTTGTAGCTATTCATGTATATTCATGAGAAGGCATCTATCGGCTCCAAGAGAAATCGGGAAAATACTCAAAGCAATGTATGGAATGCTGGGTTATTTTCCCAATAAAAGCCACATAGATGGCATGCAACCTTCAAGATACAATGTGGATGGAAGTATTAACTTGTCAGCGGTTGATAATGGCAAAGTCAGGCATGATTAGAATATTGGTCCACAAAAAAACAAAAAAAAAACAGGGAAGATGATAGAATATAACACAGATAACAGCACATCATTGAAATAGGCTTGTATCATGAAAGCAACCATAAAAAAATATGAGGCTGTAGTGCAACAGATAAAAAAAACCTTATTACGCTCAGAGCAGATCCAGAGGGGGGCGGGGGACAATTGCCCTTCTCAATGCCACCCTTTTCCTGTCCAGTCCTTGCTCTCTATGTCCTATCACCAATTAGGGCTAATGAGTGGGACCACTGTGAGCACAAATTAACAGTATCTGTGCTATCATAGGGATTTTCGAGGTAGTAAAAAGAAAAACAGTAGCGACGGCGTTTCCAGTCTAACCCGCCACTGGTTATCGTGCTTGACTGCTGACCCGCAAGTTATGGGACCGAGTCCCGGCTGCTGCGGCTGCATTTCCAATGGAGGCGGAAATGTTGTAGGCCCGTGTGCTCAGATTTGGGCGCATGTTAAAGAATCCCAGGTGATCGAAATTACTCTAGCTCTCCACTATACGGCATCTCTTATAATCATAAGGTGGTTTTGGGACAATAAGCACCACATATCAATCAATTTTGCAGCACAGTTCGCGACATCAACTGTGCGTTCACGTGACGTCAGGATGAAGTAAGCTCTTGATTAGCCGATATACATGGTGAATTGTCGCCCACTATGCTTTAATATGCAATCAAACGCCCGGTCTGCTTGGTCTCGCATGACCATCATGCACAATAAACTGATTTCACTTGGTTTTCTTCTTCCGCTACTGCGCAAGCAGATTTAGCAGTACGGAGTCAAAAGGAACAAATCCCGACTGTTTCAATGCTAGTTCTGTCATTTAGTGTGTTTTCTGAAAAAAAAAATGGCCCCGTATCTGCATGTTAATCTGCAAATGTCCTCAAAAGACGATAGTTTTGCGTCTGGAGAGATTGAACAAAACATTTATTTGATGTTCTGCGCGAAAAAATTCGTGAATGGTGTTGCTGCGTTAGAGTGCCTCGAGCGTGCAGCGGAGGGGAACGAGCACACCAAGTCAAGTCACGTGTGAGACGCGAGCTCTATCTAGCAGTTATCTTGAAACGGGGCAGATCTGCGACAAAGGGTGGTGGATCTGCGACTGGCGTGCGCGTCCGTCTCAGAGGTGACAAAGTGTAGAACGCAAGGCGACGGGTAGGTGCCACCACCGTGTCATTTTAGCAAAGCATTGGAAACACTTCCGTTTTCGTGCAAGCGTTACATGGTCAGCGCTACGGTCCTTAGAATAACCTATGTATGCCTTTTTAAGTAGACGCACATACAGAATATATACATGTTGTTATGGTGCTTCAGATATGTGCGATAATTGATTTAATTGACGATCACACAAGTATGAACGCTGCATCTTGAGCAACATTGGTGGGCGATGCGGATGAGGTCAGCCATTTGGGATATCCGCTGGTGCAGTTTATACTGCCCGATATTGTTAAAGGTGGACAAACAGACAAACAGACAAAAATTTTTGCATCGAAGGGCTCCAAGAAAGACTATCATCTTTAAAAATGAGTAACGCCTCGCCTGTCTCTAGTATTGCTTCAAGCGAACACCCGCCGCCCCCTAGAATGAGTGGTTGGATCCGCCCGATTAGGCTAGGTGATTACTGGTCACCACCCTTCTTCAAGGGGGAATGCCAGCAACAATTGGAAACAGTAACCAATGTTGCAAATTCATGACATTAAAAATATAAAGTTCATGATTGTGTGCTATTTAAATTTTGATCATTTTTTTCATAGAAAACAGCAGTCATAAAAAGCAATCCCCTGAGTGGTCAAGCATTGCAATGTTTATTACAAATATGTGCATACATTGGCATGTGCACTTTACAACAGGATTTGCAGAAGTCATAGGCATGTTGACAGAAAAATAAATATGGTGGTGAGAACAATATATATGTGAAAGGCAATAAAATTGAAGTGATGTAGCCGATTCTAACCAAGATTCTTGGTTAATGCTTAAAAGGAGCTTCAGTAAAACAACAATAAGAACAAAGATGAAGAAAAGATCACAATCTCTGTGGCACAAGTAGCTGCAAACTTTTTCTACATGCAGATCATCTGCATTGCAGAAAGATCACTAAACAAGTCAGCAACAGAGTTTAGCATCACAGTATTATAGCTAATGCTACAACATAGCAATTTATGTGCACAACAGATTGAATAGCCACATAAAAATATGTTATGTACAGACTTCCAGTAGAAGTCAACTACAAAAGAGACACCATATATCCAGTTAAAAACTGCACTGCAGAAAAACTATGTACACTTGTCAAACAACTAGATGCAACATTTCAAATATGTACCAGCATATATAGAATAAACCATTGCATCCAGCTGTAGACGAAAAACTGCTGCATAACACACATGCATATTACCACAAACAAAACTCCAGCTTTCAGGACATAAAAAAATGAAAAAAACAACAACATTTTTTTCCAACTGTGGTCAGCACATTTCTACAAATCAAATAAAAAAAGCTAATGTTAATTCAAGCAAAATACCACAGAGAAGAGAAATGTAAACTATAAAAGTATATTAATTAAAACAAGTAATAAGTTTAGCATACAAATGACAATGCTTTGCAGCATGTAAATGTTGCTGCACCCAGCATTCTAGCAGCCAGAGCATTCCTATTATGCTCTTTCTCAAAAACCTTTATACATTTTGCTAAAAGCTTTTAAAAAATAAAATTTAAAATGGTTAGGTGACCGACAATTCACTTGAAGGTGGCAGTAAATGAGGGCATTGACACACCCTGTATACCATCCAACTTTCATAGCAAACCAGAGACAACACTTTTTTTTCCTTTTTCTGTTAATTCGTTAAAAGCACGACCGTTGGTGAATGTGCTGCCCAATGCACAGCATAAACACATGTGTTTCACTTATGTTGCAGGATCCAAACTAATGGAATCTTAAATGAATAGGATTGCTCCACTAAGCATCTCACAGTTGTGAGTGCACTATGTAGGTGCAGGAAATTGGAGTGATCATGCAAAAGCTAATGACATAAGTCTGATACAATATTAACAACAGTAACTACATTAACCCCCAGGATTGTACTACCTGCAAGCCACGTCCTTGCACTCAATGGGCCTTTTTTGAGTAGGTAGTCTGCGTGCACATGTGCGCTGGCCTTGATTTTTGGTGGGCAAAACGTGATGACACGTGTGGACCAAGCGACATCTGGCACCACAAACATGCAAATGTTTGCCCCAAAAAGAGCCATGAGCCCAGGCCTCCGAGATCGCCTTCTGGCATGTAGCGGACAATTTGGGAGTCCAAGAGTCACCAGTTTTGATTTCGGCGATGTGCACTTGTGGTGCTGTTTGGACTAGGAAAAGGCTCATTGTTGACACACCTAACCCACCTATCACAATTTCAGTTATAAAAGCAACCAATTTTATTGCTAAATGGGTTTGCTGGGGAACATTACCATTGGCCAACATCGTCTTATACAAAGTGTAACCCACATGCAATACAAAAGAAAGGAAGTCGACTGGGATGTTTGGATCAACTTTAGTTCAGCTAGTCAGGAACTTTAGCATGCAGCAACATTTTTTTTGGGGGGGTCTTCGTTCATGGAGTTTGATGTCCAAAACCATCAAGCTAAAGAGGGCTCTGGATAATTTAAACCACCTGGGGTTCATGCACTTACACGAAGAGTTTTTAGTTGAAAGTTTTAATGAAATCATACTGTGTGATAGTATTTGCATCTTATATGCAGTATTAGAAACCCAATATAAAGGATGACTGCTTGACTAGGTGAATGATCACTACAAGTGATGAAATTGACACACATGGTATTGTTGCAAGAGTGTACACACTATCAAAAAGAATGGAAATATCTTGATTGAAGCTGTTAGAGAACATACATTCTTCTAATGGTGTTTCAGTGCCCAGTAGCTCTAGCTACATCACTATGAAGTTCCCCTATTGGCAAAGTCGATTTTTGTTGCAAAAAAGGTTATATGGTTCTTCAGGTCTAAAACATGCACTATAAAACACTTGTGTGAAATTCTACGCATACAAATTACTATTTAGGCAATAATTTTGCAATTCTCAGAAATCAAAAGGATGCGAGAACCAGTTTTAATGGCAAAATGCTTAAATTTGTCTTGTTCCGCTCAGCAAAATTTAGAGTTGTGAAAGTGCTGCTGACTTAACCTTAGTTTTTCAGGATACTAAAAACTTCAGAAATTGTGCTTCATATTCAAAGTAAACAAGCATACTATAAATAAAAGTTCCTTGATCCTAACAGTGCTCATAATAAAGCACAAGACAATATCGCCAAGCTTTGGTAGGACAAAAGAATAACGAAGACAAGCATAGCTTCAGTTTCTGTCTCAGGGAAGCAGGCTTCTCGGGAAGATTTAAGATTCTGACTGCGGCACCTATATTTTGAATGGAGGCAAAAATTCTTGAGGCCCGTGTGTTTAGATTAAGGTGCAGGTTAAAGAATGCCAGGTGGTAGAAATTTTCACAGCCCTCCACTGCAGTATTTTTCGTAATCATCTCACGGTTTTTACATGTTGAACTCCAATTATTCAAATATATGCTTGTCAACTATACTCTTCATTTCCAGGATGAAATAATTTCTATTCATCTTGTAATGGCCAAACACCATAAAATGAATCACCTGCCATCAGCATCAACATAAAAGAAATATAGTTACAATATGTATTTGTCATTATGCTCCCACTATATGGATACAATAATTTGCAAGTATCACTAATTCTCTCGCCCAATAATTTCAATTACCCTGAATCAACATATTTTTCCCACATATAATAGATCATACAAAAGATAACTGGTAAGTTTAGTACTCAGTGCTTGTATCTATATACCTGGATGGCCCAGAAAAACATTGTATCCTTAATGCAGTCATTAGTATTCTATCCTTGTAAAAATTTGAACAAAACAATATATCAAAGAGCTTTGGATTGATTAACCAATGGCCAAAATGCATACAATGAAGGAAGTCTCAAACACTGTATGTGCAAGCGAGCTACCTCGTGCAGGATGATAATGGTAGGTACACCTGCTTCAACAGTTGAATTACATTCAATTCACACATTCCTAGAAGCACCATTCAGATTTTTTGATGTTTTATTATTGTGGCCAAAAAAGATTGCTGTGCCCAATATTCTAATTTCTGGTATGGTGCAAATATATATACATATATATGTACCTTCAGTCATTTCAAAGGAATTGCATGAAAGCCAATATGCCAAATCCTACACATAAATGTTTAATGATTTTTCAGAAGTCATTCAAGTCGTAGCTCATATCTATAAAAAAACGGTAACTGGATAAGGCTGTACTATCTTAGAGCACAGCCCTTAAAATCCTGTTTGTGGCTTCCAGTTGTCCTGGTAAGTAGTTGAACAAACAATTCACAAAAAGAGAATGAAAGAGCGAATTCACAGCATAGTGAAAATAAATGTACAAAACAATAAATTTAAAAGAAAAATTCTAGGCGGTGGTTGCTTTCGTACCTAGGTCTTGATGCTCAAAGGCCAAGTATCTTACCCACAGGGTTAAATACTCAGCTTTCAGAAGGTGAATACAGTCAAACCTCGGTATAATGAAGTCATACTTGCTAAGGAAAAGTTGACTACTATATAGTTAATTTGATTAGATCAAGCCTTTTTCTTTAGGAGTACAAAAAAGCACAACAGTCTTATCATTTCTGGTGACAATACTTCACTAGTAGCTAACTATACACACAATTACTTCAAGGATATTGTGTCCAATTGTTTAATTATAAATGTTGACACCTGAGATACATATTATACCTGCTCATAGGAGTGACTCCCAGATGCAATGGTAAGCTTCTGGTGCCCTACTGTGTGGGAGACCTCGTAGCCTGTGGCCACGACAGATGCTGCAATGGTTTTCAGAGTGCACAGTTTGAATGTGCAAAGCATGCAAGACTTTTTGGCGCTTGAATGTGTCTTGCAAAAAAATGTGTAAAGGGGACTCCCATCTCACCCAACTTTAGAATTTTTCGCAACGTTTGCTAGAACTAGAGTTTCATGTATGCTTCAGACAGCCAAAAGTACCATTAAACAGAACTAAACAGAAAGAAATACTACAGCTTTCAATGCAACTAAGATTGGGAAATGAAAACAATTCATTACATTGATGATATCATTAAATAGAGGTTTGACTATATATCGAACATATGAATGCATTGTACCAGAGGTACAATACAAATAAATGAACACTTTCTATGAAGGTTTTGATGGAAGGTTCTATGATGATGGAATAAGAGCTTTTTCTAGGACAACACATGAAACTGACATAGCACATTCTATACACCAGAAAATTTCTGACTGTCAAAATGCTAAACACTTCACATGCCAAATTAGGTTTTGTAGACATGAGATGCACCTTCCATTGAGGAGTTCTTTCTTTTTTTTTTTTCACGAATCAAAATGCCACTTGTCGGCATAGATTACGTTACAAAGAAGTCAAGAAAGTTGCACAGTGGCCAACTAAAGCAAAATGCAGATTAATGCTAGAAAGATGAGGAAAAAACACAGTCGATGCTGCTCGACAGCTACGTTCCGGGAAGGCTGCCACATAAAACAATCATGTGATACTGGACATGATCATGAGCCAAAGTGATACTACTTGCCTCTCCTTCATCACCTCATTCTGGTCTTGCTTAGAATTTACGTGCAACAATGCCTGTGCTGCAAGCATTAGTAGGCAAGAACCATGTATACCCGTGCTCATGGTTTCTTCCTAAAAATGAGTGATGTTACTGCTGGAAGTGCTTCCTCTGCTGTTGAACAAACTCAGCTGTTAAACAAACTGCATAAGCAGAAGCTAAGTGCTGACAATGCCACAATGCTGCTGCACTCAAATTTCACATTAGGGGGTACTGTAATCATCGAAGCATTAAAAATTTTTTCATGGCTACGGGACCACATATTCTCATGTAAACCCAACACTAACTGCTACCAAACATGAGAAATGGCATGGGTAACAATATGTATATGCAGAGCAGCATAGACTTACTGGCATATTTTCCTAGAGGGGGGCTGAAAGGAATTTCAGATTTAGGTGGACGATAGTTTACACAGGAGTGATAAGATGATTACCAGATTCTGGCCTGCTCTTTTACAAAAGATAAGAGGAATGGAGACCAAGAAAACTAAAAAGGACTGCTAGACTTTTCACGATACATTTATGCTAGCCATATGCCCTTGTCTATTGTGTACTATCTACAAAGAACTAATTTTAGCTGGAGATCTTCATAGACGTACTTAATTACAGAAGTAAAAATAACATCATCTATATGCTCCACACTTAAGCGCATTTACAGAGACATTTTAAAAAGCAGCAAATACAATGTTAGCACAAGAGAAAAACATGCACACTAGAGTGATAAACATGAAATTCAGATAAAAGCAGGTCACTGTCAGGAACACAAAGAACACCAATATAATGACATGTTTCACACTGCACCAAATGCGCTGAATAACAAAATAGGTAGTAGTACACAATCAAACGACAGATGTCTTAGTATGGATGCCATAACGAGCTAATAAGTCTGAGCAGGCTTTTGAGACGAAACCAAGACATAAAACACTACAATGTGAGATGCAGCACTATGTATACCAAGAAATTGGCCAAGTCATAAGAAATTTTTCATGCCACTACCTCTGAAACAATGCCGCGATACTGACAAGCACTAGTATCGAAAGATGCGATGCATGGATGCCACTGGCTCCATCTGGCTCAGATTCTCTTTCCAGCTGTGAATCAAGCTTCGTCTGCTTCACAACATTGCAGTCATTTCCACACTCAACACCATCGCAGATATCGCACAATGTTGCTTTGTGGGGACTGTAGAACATCCTAGCACTGCGAGCTGAAGAGAGAGTTGTAGAAACAACATTGGTGAGCAAAAAGTTGCATTCATGAATCTGTTCCAGCTTTGTTCCAGCTGTCAACCTCACAAAAATAAGTAGGACACTTACAGGCCACAGCAACACTTGAAGTTATCAAATTATTTCACTATTATACTTTAATGCTCCACAATGTCATTGCCGCAAAAACTTTTGATTGATATGTGGGGTTTAACGTCCCAAAACCACCATAAGATTATCAGAGACGCCGTAGTAGAGGGCTCCGGAAATTTTGACCACCTGGGGTTCTTTAACGTGCACCCAAATATGAGCACACCGGCCTACAACATTTCCCCTTTCATTAGAAATGCAGCCGCCGCAGCCGGGATTCAATCCCGCGACCTGCAGGTCAGCAGCCGAGTACCTTAGCCACTACACCATCGCGACGGGACCCGCAAAAACTTTTCCCATCTGTCAAGTACGAACAGAGTTACAAAAATTTGTTGCATTTCATTCCTCCTCCTTTCATCTGGAAGAGAACACATCTAAACGGGAAATGACTAATTTGCAAGCAGCCACTTCGGGAGGCATCATGAGTCATGACCTTGACCACTTTCTTTTCTTTCTTTGAATGTGTACGCTTACTTCTGGTGCTGTCACGAGTGCACTAGAGTGATTCTGATTGCAACACGGTGTGTTGTCACACATGGCGGTAGCCTTTGTATATATTCAGGGCAATGCTCAAACCTTCCAATGGCCATCCCTTGGTGACACAGTCAGCACAATGATGCCGTAATTTGTAGAGAAAAAAATGAGAGTGATTTTTGGCTGTCTTTAAACATAACTGGAAATTTTCTCCAATGTGGGTAGCTATGATGTTTGGTTGTAGAGACTCCTGTGAACATGCGAGCCAATCAGCAGTGTTTTCTGACCATGTCAAGAAGTGTTGCAGTACAAGGTAACACTGCTGACACACAGCTGAATATACAGAATTCAAAGTTTTTACGACACACAGCTGAATATACAGAATTCAAAGTTTTTACAACTCCAGAAATCTAAAACTTCAGTCACCTGAAGGAGTGAACTGACAATAACAGCATGTAATTTAATGAACTCAGGTAGAACTTTACATGAACTCAGGTAGAACAAATTAGAATTAAGGGGAGATGCAACTCGAAAACGTTTTTATTTAACATTTGCTCTAAAGCAATGAAACTTTAGCTGTTTATAGAACTTTTCGAGCTGATTTGAAATATATAATAATTAGTTTTCTTGCAAGTTGCATATTTTCAGTTCTGCAACATGACAAAGTGAAAACCTTAAGCTTTTTGCCCCCCCCCCCCTCTTTCGATCGCAAAACTCTCATAATTTTTTTATTACTGATGGTTTATACTGTTTGAAATAAAGTGTAGAATAAATAAAACTAATGAGGAGGTGCATACAAAATGTGTAATATAATATATGCGAAAAATATATGTGAAATGTGTAAATAATATATGTGAAAAAGTTCATATTTCTCCAACCCTGGTAAAGGTTTACAAAATTTTTTATGATATAATCAAAATATCAAAACTTAGACAAGACGATTGCATTTGTCATATGTTGGGAAAAATTTGAACAAAATTTAATGTAGATCTGAGCACCATAAATACTCAAAAAAAGAGGGGCACATTCAAAAAAGTAGCAAAAATTTGTGTTTTGAGAAACACGAGTTTCAAAGTTAATATTGAATGTTTATTTATGAAAGATGTCGTGATGAAATTAGCACAGAAAAATAGCAATCCTCTTTGTAGTGGCCACTGCTACAAAATTGTACCAGCCCCATAAGTTTGTTCCTCACTGCTTTCGGGCAGACTCCTCACAGACATTTCGCTCGCAGACAGGGCTATGAAACACTTGCCAAACTTCTTTGGCTCCATCTGGCAGAACCATTTTTCGCTGACACTAAGATACTGTCACGTCACAAACAACAAATAGCAAGAGGTCATCGAAGTATTCTACATTCGAAGAAAAGGAGAAAATGTATCGGTGTACCTTCTATCACGCTAAGTTATACAAAATTTCAATACCTAAGCACCACCTGCACATGTTAATTACAAAGATTATCAACTTTCTGTTCAGTTTTTTTTTTAACTTTATATTTGCATGTTTTTTCTTAATAAAATTTAGTTGCGAGTTAGCACCCGTGATGTGCACATTTCTTTCTTTTTAGTCCTCATCCTGCAGTGCACTGCTAAAATCGAAATGGCAGAGCCTTGTGCTGACTGCAAGATAGAGAGAAGTTCGACAGGACTTCAAAGTCTAAACAAAGTCTAGTGTCAAGGGACACAACAGTGCCAATGCCATTGTGGCTCTTGTGGCCCCGTTTATGCCATGCATCATCGTACATAACGGCAATGTCGTCCCCGCTAACTTTCTTCACTGTAAGCTCCTTCGACCTCGAAAGACTAGTGCAAATGGCATCCATTGCTACATCATGGACTTTCCGGCTGATGGCTGCGAATGACTTACAATGCATTGGCTTTTGCAACTCAAGAATTGCCGCAAACCAGACCAGCTGCTCGTAGCCCATTCTTACGAAGCGTCCCGCCACAACAGCTTTCACGTTGACAGCATCTATCACCCAAGATACGGCTTTCTTCATTTATAATGGAGATAAACACACGAGAAAAGGTTGTTCAGCTGCACTGCTCGATGGCGCAGGAACCCTGCAAGTAGGCTTCACAGCACATACAGGCGTGCAGTGGCCAATAGCAGTCCCCGATTCGTACCATGCGATTTAAAAGCCAATCATGGTGCTCGAAAAAAGCGGAAAAAGCGCGATTTTTTTAAATATTTCTTGCACTGCAGCAGGCCCCGCCGCGGTGGTCTAGTGGCTAAGGTACTCGGCTGCTGACCTGCAGGTCGCGGGATCAAATCCCGGCTGCGGCGGCTGCATTTCCGATGGAGGCGGAAATGTTGTAGGCCTGTGTACTCAGATTTGGGTGCACGTTAAAAAACCCCAGGCGGTCAAAATTTCTGGAGCCCTCCACTACGGCGTCTCTCATAATCATATAGTGGTTTTGGGACGTTAAACCCCACATATCAATCAATCAATTGTAATGCAGCAGTGCGGAAAACACTCTTTGCCTCAAGAGATCAACAATGATGAGCGGCAGCGAATTATCAGTGGCAAGGCGCTCGAATACTGTACACGTTTGGCTTTTAACTGCCACTGCATTCCTTTTAGGCACAATTTTAAAGCAGTTCTGGTTAAGTCTCGACGTAGATTTTTTTTTTTTTTCAGAAGAGTAAAGGCACTAATCTTATCAAAACAGGTGAAAACCAAAAAATTCTAACTTTTAAGAAAACTCATTTTTCGACTTGCATCTTCTCTTAAAAAGCAAGAATTCTTACAGATAATTTTTTGGTTCCTTTAGCATTATTTATAATTCTTAGAAACAAAATTTAGCATTTGTGGTAATGAATATTGACACGCACACTTGTTTGTTTTCCCTATGATAGTTTATTTCCATCTAAGAAATGTTATAAGGTAACTAATAAACTAAAAACTAAAAAACCATTGCAATGGGTTTTTGCCACTGCACCGAAGCTCATGTGGCTGCAAACCACTTTCCTTGATACAGTGATTAAAGGTAAAAGCAGAAATAAAATTACAAGGAAGATTATCAAGGCAGAGAGGATTTATAGATTAGGGCTGAACTGTGTCAGCACTCCCTCTCTTGGGCTTTGTCAAAAAGAATTGTCCTTCCCAAGACTAGATTCTCGCGCATGGCGATTGCGGGTTTCAAAATTGTTTTGTCTTTTTTCGCATTTCGTGAGTATACATATGTACGATCTTAGAAATAAAAGTTTTTTAGAGCTACCGCTTTCTTTTGTCCCTTTCCATGTCCTGTGTCTCACATTTTTTATGCGCAACATTATTAGCTATGTATTACCAGCATTCCCAGCTTTACACTCTTGTCTTACACGGTATAGTTTAGTGCAAGATGTGTGTTGATGCATCAGAGCTTTCTTGTGTGTTATCAATTCTGCTGTCTGTGATCAGATTACATGCACAACATGAACTGTTTGTAAATTATAAAACTTGCACAGCCCCACAAACTATGCTGTAATGCATGACACATCTAATCTGAGGATCAAATTTGATGATCAACAACTGTTCTTACATTATTATTGTATGGTGAGTGTTACTTGCTTTTGTTGAGCACAAACTCACCCGATAAGGAGCTTGTTCATTTACTTACACACCATGGTACCATTTTCTTTACTGTTGCAGTGTGAAGGTATATTAAGGACAGAGCATAAACATGGTTCCACTCAACATAGTAAAAATATAGGCAAAAGAAAGATGTACCATTGCACTTTGCGAGTTTCAGAGAATGTAAATGTAGGTTATGGAGTAACACAACACACACTAAGCCTCCTCCGCATCTACTATGGCCAAACAGCTCTCTGCAAAGCTCCTGAGGAAGTCTGCAGCTTTTTAATTTCTGTGGAGTAAAAATGCTCCGCAATCATTATGATCTCACCAGACAGACTGAAGGGTGTGTGTTAGTGTGTGTGCATGTGTGTGTGTCATTACATGTGAACTAGAGCAAGAAATTCATGAACATTCATTTTCAGCTAGAATTACACTCACCCAAATTGTAGTAGTCGTAGACTTTGACAGGGACAGGCTTTTGGTTGGCAACTTTGTGTTCTCTATGCGCTGGTACAGTGACACACAGCTCTTCCTTCCCAATCTGCAATGGTAATGGCACATGATAAGTCGCAAGGCTCCCTTTCTGTAATGTTGCACTTTTGCAATCTAGTCAGATACTTTGCAAAATTTTAAAAGGTAAAAGTTCAGTGCAACAAGCATTGTTTTATAAAAAACATATCAGAGTTTATTGCATTATAGTACCTTAAGAGTTGTTTTTGCTCTATCTTTATTTTTATCTCAAGATGTTAAATTCTGAGAGAGACAGAGAGAGAAAGAAACATCTTTATAAAAGTGATCTCGCTTAGTTTATGGTTATGGTGGGTGCAGCCTCTCTTACAAGAGGTTTTACATGTTATAACCGTGATATGATTATGAGGCACTGTAATAGACTACATAACTTTTATACCAATAATTTATTAATGTACACTATATTTACTTATAACTGCATTTGCCTCACTATTTTCGGCAATGTCTCAGTTCAGTTATAAACACAAGCTAGCTACAAGCCACAAGTAAAACCATATCAAGGGAGACCGCACATCATGCCACCAGGTGAACCATAAACATTTTCCACTTTATCTTGACAACTCTAGATAACACTTCAAGAATGAATTGAAGGTGGTGTGAGCTCCTAAATGGCAATGACAAGAGATACCTCGTCATTGACCAGTTCAAAGACCTCTGAAATGCCCAAGCACATGGACATCACACGGCATGCACAAATGATTTTGTGGTTTTCTTTTTTTGTGTGTTAGTGCACTATACAGATACATCCACGTTTTTCTTCCCCTTGCACTTCCACACACAGAATGAATTATGTATACCGAACAATCTGGCCCTGTACATTAAAGCTAAAGCCTTACATGCCTCCACGAGTTTTTTTATTACAACTCTCCTATTTCAATCTGGAAACAGATATTTTCCCACTCTTTGCTATCAGTTGGGCCACTTTTTGCACTCATTTTGTAAAGTACACAATCGAGTCTCTCGCGGTTTCGGTGGTTGTTTTATATTCTAAAAATATCACTGTGATTTATTAGATTTTCAAGAATAGAGTCTCAAAGAACGCAGATGCAAGTGTTGAATTCAAAGCTTCAATGAGTCAATTTCCTTTGAAACAAGCTGAAAAATATTGTCATGTTGATGCTCACAGGTTTTATCATATCAAACAAAGTTAACGCAACGACTAAGCACAAACAACAATGCAATGTTTGTTGTCTTCAATCTCTGTCATGCAGTATGCCTGCAATCTATACCACCTGTTCGATGCTTAAGCAACATGCATTTACTCCAATGGGAATCAATTTTTTCATGTCCCACCCTCCAACGTTCACATTTCTTTGTACTGCTCTTTTTTTCTGCTAGTGGCTGGCTGTGAAGGTGCCTTTCCTTTATAACCTCATACATCAATGATCGCACATGCGAATGAGCATTAAAGAACGGCGCCACCCATCGTGCTCTTGAGCTACCACACCTATTCAACTCTATGCCTATAGTTGTTGTTTTTTTTTAAAGTTCTTTGTATCAAACACCTGGATCGACATAGAAACGAAAATATTAAAAAAAGCACCATTTTTTCATTGAGAAAAGTGGTGCATAACCAGTGCCACCTAGACGGTATTGTAGCCGTTAGTAGTCGAGCCACACCTGGCTTAAGTATACACGTGAGGCCGCAATTTTTGATCTTTGTGGCAAGTTTTGAGGCAAGCCATTTGTCATTTCGAGTCCCATTTAGAATGGTCTGCGACTGACATAGCTCAATGGTGCCATACAGGCAGTGTCATTATAGTGCCGTTTATAAAAGGAGAGTTGTCCTAGCCGCGGAGTCGTCGTCCAACGTTCAAGCCGCATGAGACTTTGGAGTGGACCAAAAAAATGTGCGTCGCTGGAGAGGTTTCAGTGTGGGACAATATCCCAGGAACTTTGATTGTGCACTTTTTTAAGAAGTCTTGCATATGCAGTGCACTTGATGGCACCGCAGATTGCACACTGTTTCAAAACAGCGACAACTAATTCAGTGACGAGGGCAGCAATGATGACATCTCAGAATGAGTGCGGCATCAGCAAGCGTGAAATCTTTACGATACAAATAACTGGAAACAGTGTGGAAAAAAACGACTAAGAAACACACACAACAGGACAAGTGGATGTATGCTTCTCGAGTTGCTTGTATCATGAATCAAAAATGCTCTGTTTCATCATGTTCAATAAATGTTTTCCTTTGAGAACGCCGTCCTCGCTTTCTCGTTCATCCTACATTCAAGGCAACTTTTTTTTTTGTGTGTGTGGGCTTCACACTTTTAGGGGTTCGCTTGAATTCGGGGTCAGCCTAGATTCAAGTGAATACAATACTTTTTATGCTGCTTTATATATAGTTTGGAAATGTTGTACAGTCGAACTCTGCTACAATGAAACTCACTGGGCGCGGAAAATATTTCGTTGAAGCGAGAATTTCGTTGTAGTTAAATTAAAAAAAGATATAGCTGATCTGAGCTAGCTAAACAAAGGAACGTTTGTTCTTAAAATTAAAAACGTGTCCGCTGCTTCTTATTCTTTCCCAGCAGCATCATGATGCAGTTCACAGTCATGCATAGCGAGGCCATGGTGAAAACCGCTGAAATAATGCCTACAACCACATTCGTAAACGTACCAAACAGTTGCATCAACACGTTAACACCAGCAGCCATTCGCGGTCAGAGTGTATCCGACAATGCCGAGATGGAGGCATGGTATCGTGGAACGGTGACTTTTGCCTTATTTTATGCCATTCTTATCATCCAAACCTCAAGGCTGGCTGATTTGGTTGATAATTCGGATGAACAGCTGCTCAGATCAGGTACCACACTGGCCAAGTGCAAATAAAATGATAAGCATTGAAATCAGAAAAGGTTGCACGCGGTTGCACGCAGCAGCTGCGTGAAGGAAACCAGGAACTGAGCAACTGAGCTTCAGCTTTGGATCGTCTGCAGCTCGAAAACAAGCCAGTGGCAAAAGCAGAGCCAGCCTCTATGAGCAGGGCAGTCTCATTACCATCACTATCGAGCAATGGCAGCACTCATGCTTGCTAAACAGCGGCGGTTTCTCACGATGCCAACACCTGTTTTAGACTTTGTCGACGTATTTTCATGTTTTCAAAATGCATCAAAGTGTTAAAGATTGCGTTTCCTGTATAGCAATAATTATCTGAGCCTGGACTTGCATCGTGAAATTTCATTGAAGCGGGACGGCAGAAGAAAAAGTGTTCGTTGTGGCAACAACATTTATGCGTTGACTCCTACCGACTGCTGATGGGGAAGCGTGACTTTTTTATTGTAGCGAAAATTTCGTTGAAGTGGTGCTCATTGTAGCGGGGTTCGACTGTATATAGTTTATGTATATATTTTTTTATGCTGCTTTTTATATATAGTTTGGAAAAGCTGCACAAACATTAAGGGGTCCTGAAACGGTATTTTTGAAGTTGTGTCAGCATTTAAGTTAGAGCATCGTCAAACTATTCACACCACAAATTTAGCGATATGCTGTGTACCAAGGCTGCTACAGATAATTAAATCATACCCTCCTTCTCAACCCTGCCATGCCTCAACTCATGAAACATGCTAGCATCGCTGGCAATCACAGAGCTCTCAAGAGCCCACTCGATGCTTTGAGCTTTACCCCGTTTAGATATCGGGAATTGCACGCTGACAGGTTGCGCACAATTTCTGAAGCCATCCCCCAGTGCATCTGGCAGCACGCATGCAGTCTGGCAACAAAGACTAAGATCCCGAAGTAGTTGACATTTGCTTCGGCAGATACCCTACCACCCTACCAGTACGCATTCCACAGCCAATCAGATTAGCAGCTTGGGTGGCGTCACGCTACCAGAGGATGCGTACTGTGAATAGGTGATTGAACACTTAGTATTTGGCCAAGCCGCAGTGATCTGAAGCAATTCGCATCTTTAAAGCGTAATAAATTAGGTTATGCAGAGAGCTTAGATCAGTCTGTATGACCCTTAGGACAATGTCTAAAGGCCCAATGTGTTTGTTCAAAATCATAAGAACTATTTCAGGGTCCCCTTAATATCTGGGCTGTCCTGAAAACACTGTAAAAAAATTTCAAATCAGTGCCTTTTTCAGGTTTTTGCAATAATTGAGAACTATTAACGTGCATTATAAAACAGCACTCTAAAGTATGACTTTCTCAGTTTCACTTTCTCGTGCAAGATCCAACTCTAATGCATGGTCATGAAGTAGTACCAAAGATGAGGCAGCGACAGTGTGTGAGCCACTTCACATTGTACGAATTCAAGCGGTCCTTTTTTTTTATACATCGGAGAAGAATAGGCGAATACGCTCGTTATAATGTTGTTTCATAGACAAAAACAAAAAGAGAGACCTGTTTTGCTGTGTTTGGCAAGTACATTTCATTGGAGAGTGTGAAGTGGACATTTCATGAATTTCTTCATGGTGAGTAAAATAATTAGTCTCATTGAACAAGTCGTGTTTAAAAGATATGTGAAGCCTTTCTAAGCAAACTAAACACTCTTGGCCATTTCTAAACATCCAGCAGCTCAGATCCAGGCGCTCACATTTTTATATACCAAAATTGGCACCAGAACACTATGATCCTTTTTCTTATAAGGATATGAAAAAGGACACCTATAATTTATCATTTGTATGATGATAAATACATGTCAGAAGTGAAGGTGCTTTTGAGTTATCTTCATCGCGAAATGCCATATGTTTGCGACACAGTACACAACAATAGGTTGGCAGGACACTGTTGCCAAGCATTACCAATAGCCACGCAAGCTCTGTGAGGTCATGAAAATTCTGACTGCTCAAGTGTGCACACATGTACCATTCGCCCAATCAATGGCAGTGGAGTGAGGCTTCTTGTCACTATTGAAAGGTGGTGCTGAATTGGGGAAATATATTAACATTCCTAACAAAGAGACAGCAAAAATAAAGGAAAGTGACCCCTTACTGACCCTGTCAAAGTAGATGACAACATTAGTGTCAGCATCTTGGCTCTCAACCCGTCGCACCTCCTTGGTCCTGTGGATGCTACTCAGGGTGTCAAAGTCAAAAAGGTAGCCTGAAGGCAGGGCCACTTCCATGACAGCCATATTGCTGGCATCCCCTTCTCCTTGGTAGCTGCATAAATAAGTTTAGAGCATGAGTTTACATGGCACAAAACTTTTACTCACTTACAAGCAGAGAAAAAAGTCAGTTTCACCAAAAGTGCAAAGCAATGAATGCAACAGCAATATATTCGAATGTTTTACGAAGCAACACTAGCATTTTTAAGAGAAATATTAAATGTAGTAAACATGCGCTTGCTAAGTAACTAAGTTTCCTGTAGCGCGGCCACAGTATATTAGCACAAGAAGGCTCGTGAGTAGTGAACCCATTGATATACGAAGTGAGGCTGGCAGTCAACTCAATTGGATCCAATCTTACATAACTCTACAAAATGCTTGTGTAAGAGAACACGGCCACTCCAGGTAGACTTTTCGCACCATTTTTTCTTGTTGAGAACCCAGCCTGTAGATGCTGCCGCCTGATCATTGCCATGATAGAGCGGCAACCATGAGTACCCTCCACAGTATAAAAGTATAAAAAAGAAAAATGTACAAAATCTTTCTATTCACATAGACAAAGAAAATCGGAACAGAGGTGCTGCTTCATTGCTTGTGTCATGCGGTGAAGCATTGCTTGCTTTTTTGTGACACACAAGTGGACTCATACACTTTCCTCAGTAAACTTTTTGTTTTTTTGCGATAAGAACCTGGAGTTGTGCCAATATAGATGGATGCCTGATATGTGAATTATCTTTCAATAAATTAGATGTCTCTATTTCGTGTCGCATCACCTTTTCCCGTGAGCCACAACCCACGTATATTCGCATTCCAATATATGCATCTGAGCATACTTTGCATTTTTTTCACATTGCAATAAAAAAAGAAAGAACAATATCACCCACGCTTCTAAAACGTTTCGTGCTGCTTCATTGTCAGAACAAAGATATGCTCTGGTTGCCTTCTTGATGTGAAGAGAAGTTCTGCAACCGGCGCCAGCACATCGTGCCCCAGCGACGTGTGGACCTTGCACGTAACCATAGTAGCTACAGTAAAAGCTCGTTAATTTGACATCCGTTAATTTGGAAATTCGGATAATTCGGACGGCTCTATTGGTCCCGGACAAAGTGCATGTTAGTCTATGGGACCAAACCTTTATTATTTCGTCGGAATTCGGCTCCGCACCGCTTAATTCGGACAAATGCCGACGGCTGCTGCTACACAAAAGTGGGATAAAGCAGTGCTGGCACCACTGGAGTGAAACAGAAACCTGAGTGGCATCGCCATCATCATCAACTAGTGGGGGCGATCGCAGCGTCACCGAACGTCGGCTTCTTCTTTCTTCTCCACTCAGCACCTCCGACGCCATTTTCCCTTGTGTTGTCGTGTCGGAACCATCTCTTCTTGCGGAGTTCTCTTTTTCTTCTATTGTGACCGTATTTGCATGCCACCACCATCGTGCGCTACAGTGATGGGGCAACACCGAAAAAGCGACAGAACTACGACGCGAAGAATTTGGCGACTAAAGTGGAAATTTTGGAAGCACTGAAGAACGGCAAATCGCGACAGCAGGTTATGACCAAGTACAACGTGAAGCGGAGCACGTTAGCAACGTACGTGAAAAATGAACCACAGATTCGACAAGCCTTCGAAAGTGAGAAGTTTCATGCCTCTAGAAAGCGGTTGCGAACTGCAGCTCATCCCCAGCTCGAAGAAGCTTTGCTCCGGTGGATTACCGACTGTCGTAACGCGCATCTGCCTTTAAGCGGACCTCTCATCATGGCGCAAGGTGAGAAGTACGCTGCAATGATGAACATTGAATCATTCAAAGCGTCAGAAGGGTGGTTTGCGAGGTATCGAGAGAGACACGAACTTGTCTTCAGGAGTGTGTGCGGCGAAAAGGCTAGTGTTGACGAAAGCGTGACCACAGAGTGGAGAAATATGAAGCTGCTGGAGCACATCGCCGCATATGAACCACGTGAAGTGTTCAATGCAGATGAAACTGCTCTATTTTTCAGAGCTCTGCCCGACAAGACGGTGACTTTTAAAGGGGACGCGTGCATTGGTGGCAAGAAGTGCAAGCAAAAGATAACTGTGCTTCTTGCCGCCAATATGACTGGCACGGAGCGCTTGCCACTACTTGTCGTCGGGAAGGCGCTTAAGCCACGTTGTTTTAAGAATGTCAAAAGCCTTCCTGTCGAGTACACAGCGAACAGGAAGGCATGGATGACATCGGACATTTCTCGCGGCTGGCTGCAGCAGTTGGACCGGCACTTCACGTCGAAGGACCGCAAGATAATTATGGTTGTTGACAACTGCAGTGCCCATAATTGTACAATCGAACTGAAGAGCATCAAAGTAGTTTTTTTGCCGCCCAACACTACGTCTTCTCTTCAGCCAATGGACCAGGGTATCATTCACTACGTGAAGTCGAAGTACCGCAAGCACCTGCTAGAGCGAATGATCCTATGCTCAGAAGCTGGAAAGTTGTATCAAGTGGACTTACTCGGCGCAGTGCACATCATCGCCCATGTGTGGAAAAACACTCCGTCGCAAGTCATCGCCAACTGTTTTCAGCACAGCGGTTTTGTGAGGCCCGAGCATGCAGCAGTAGCTGACGATGGCATCGAGGAGGTGTCAGCCGAGTCCACCGACGATGACTGTCCGACTTTCGGTGCTGTCCTTCCCACAGATGTGACCTTTCAGGACTACATCGCCATTGATCATGGTGTCGCCACCAGTGGTCTCCTGACCGATCAAGAGATTATTAATGATGTCACGGGCGCCCATGAAGACCACGATTCCGACGAAGAATCGTGCGATGAGATACAGCCGCGACCTAATCGCACCTCACAGGAAGTCTCGGAGGCACTGTTAATATTAGAGGACGCTTGCCTGAACACTCCCGACAGCTTGCGTGCTGTTGGCCATTTGGAACAGTTAAGAAAAACTGTGATGTCAGCCGGAATCTGCGCTAAAACGCAGACGACAATTACAAAGAACTTCAAAAAATAAAGGTATGCTTCTGCAGCTTGATTTTAAATGTTTTCCCTGTTCATTCATTAATTCGGCATTCGGTTAATTCTGACAGTTTTTTCGGTCCCGTGAAATCCGAATTAACGAGCTTTTACTGTATAAGATTGTGCCCAATGGTGAATAGCTATGGACTCATGGTTGAAGAGACAACTTGAGGCCGTAAACAAAACAAACCCATGAATGGCTGCAGATGTCTCAGGCTGACACAAAACAATGTCACGTAAAGCTTGAAGAGAAGCTGCTGTCATCCTTGGACTCTCCTCACTCATCCAAGCTCATCCTCACTCAATCCAGTGCATTTGCAAGACAGTTTCAAGCGCCGCATGTTTTGCAATGCAGACGCGCGTATGACGACGCCACAGGAGCATCTAGTGACACTGAATGCGACCCTGTGTCTGATAACAATACAAGCAAAACGAAAGCTGCTGGAAACTGGCTGATAAGGCCACCTCCACACTTTATACACACGATAGACCTTCGGACAAAATTTTTTTGTAGAAAAAAAATTTACTGCAAGATATTGGCTATGACCTTCAATAAAAAGATGCGGCCACAGTCTGTAAGCAGCTGGCGTGGAGCTCTGTGTTGCAAAGTCGCATCTTGAAGGAGGAAGTCAGCGACATCTCTGGCACAGCTTGTTGGAAGAGCTCGTGTGATTGTGTAATGTGTGGCGTAGTCGGTGGTCACAGCTATTCACCTGTTGCTACATTCATGCCTCAATGCATGTTAGAATATTAAAAATGAAGAATGTAGTTCATTAGTAAATTTCTTTGCCAGCATGAAGTTCACTGCCGTGAATTCAGAAAAATCGCAACGGAGGACACGCATCTTGCCATACCAGTAATTTTGTTTTCATAAATGTAGCTTTTCTTAGTTAAATAAAAACTAAAACCATACCCTCAAATCAAATTGAAAAACAGATATGGGTTCCCAGCTTAAGTGTTTGCATTGTTCTTTTGAGTTTTCCGAAACCAATCTAGCGACAGTTGTCATTTCTCTAGTATCGCACAGCTGGGGGCTATTGAACACTGTTACTTGCTCTACAAAACACAAAAATAACATTTGAGCACCCTACACATAATTGTCCAGGCATTCAGATACTGAATGCTTGAAAGAGAAATTGCTAGGGGGAGATGCTCACAAGGGTTGTTTGTGCCCCTCAGCCTGGGCCAAAAAGGACCCCCCTGACCTCACCTCATGACACCACTAAAAGTTCCCCATTGGAAGTGAAATGAAAAAACACTCACGCTATTGTAAAGCTTGTCATAGAAAGAAAAGTGTGTACTCACTGGGTACAAACACTGAGCTGAAGATAGTTTTCAGTAGATGTCTTGTCCAGCAAAGGATTTAAGAAGAATGAGGGCGATTCTGAAGATACTGCAAGGTTGAACGACCAGGAGACCTACAAAATTGTAAATAAAGTATGACATTTACAAGCAAGAAACAAAATAAACAAGCAAGAAACAGTTACCCATAAAATACCTTCCTAGTTTGTTAGTTTGTTCATTCATTAAGGAGCAAAAAAGTGCGCATGTGTCTTATTTTATGTGATATGAGTGACATCACTGACACTGCTGTTGCAACACTTCTAGCATCAGCTACATGGAAATAGACCTACATCCAGCCTCTGTATGTTGTTCGGTTACCTAATCAACCACCTAATTGTTTTATCTTGATAAACAGTCCCTAAAGTGCTAGTTTCGTTCGAACTTCCACACTATGTTCACAGGCTGCCATGGCCTGCGAACATAGCATGCCTGATTAAGTAAGATTCACCGATATGACTTTACAAATTACTTTCAAGGAAAATAACATGTATGAACTAGCCCTTCAGACAACCCTACAGCGACTTTACATGCTGCTGCTTTTTGCTCATTCAGGCATCGCAGTGAGTGCTCAAGGACTTTTTATACAGTAAGACGAACATAATTACCTAGCCCCAACATCCTTGTGTAAAGGACACAGCACACACTGACCATAACAAGAGTGCGAGAACTGGTCAAATGTTTAGTGGATCAAATTAAACAGCCTGTAATGGCTCTACCCAATCCCCATGTTTGAAAAAAGAAAAACAGGCACATGGACAACAGCTCCTTTTAATCTTCAATGGCTGTATCTCCTTTATCTTTTCTAGTTCATCAATAGTGTTCTCCCTCACTATTATGTTCATAGCACTGCACTTTCAACTATCCACTGTGATAACATTTTTCAGTTGCCCCAGAATCACATGAGCATGAGTACAAACTCAATGAGGTTACATGTAATAACGGTTAATCTGAGCTGAAGTAAGGAAAAGAGCTGCAACACATAAAACAAACTCGAACTATTCTTTCATAAATGGTCAGTGAAGTTCCATAACTTTCCAAAATATCTAAAAGCACCAAGACGCTCACCTGCAACACTGCCACTCCAAATCCTGTTGCTTCAATCTCAACGTACTTGAGGTCAGAAGGCAGCTAGCAAAAAAATAAGAAAACAGACACCATTGTAAAAAACACTACATATGCAGTTCTGAAAGTCTTGGGAAATAGTCACTTATAGAAATGTAAATGCCCGATATAGATTTAATCTTACTTGATGTTAAATATCAAAAAATGGCAAATAGCTTTGCCATTAGTGAGCACTTGAAATAATGCACAAGTCTACATCTGCAACTGCACATAAGAGGCCTCACATAAATACTACACAACTTAAAGTTATAATTCTGTTCATGCTGCAGTTCACTGAGATTATAACTACTGAACTTACTTTGGTTCTATATTTTTATTGGTGTATTCGTCATATTCACAATTAAAAAGGGGGATAAGGCTGCAGAAAAATACTGCTGGCTGCATTGCTTGGCTACACAAAAAATTTCATCAGGCAATTACGTCATCAGTAACTGCAAAAAAGTGTTCCATATTCTTCCCCATGACCTTTAACAGCATTAATCTTTTTAACTTATTCAGATGTACAGGGTCCTTCAAAAGTTCCCAGGCCACTATGTGATGTATTCCTATGGCAGGGTGACCTGGGAACTTCTGGCAGACCCTGTACATAACCAAGAAAGCAAGTGTACAGCTGTTTTTTTTTTTTTTTCATGTAATTGAAGCAGCCTTGTATGTAAGATTCAAAACTTTCTGATCTAATTGCTATTATGCTATCTTGCATCTATTCCTTTTTTTTATTAGGAATTCCAAAATTTTCTATAAATGAGAGCATTTTACCCTCTATGTAAAACTCCACTTTCTTGGCTTCAATTGCTGTCGACTTCACTAAGATTTACTGTAACCTAACTAGTGTCAATAACTAACTGCATATCAGTGTGTTCATTTGCCATGCTGTACAATGTCATACAATCATTTACAAAACCAGAAAGTAGCCATTTCTAGAGCACTAAGCTGTTTTGTAATTAAAATCCATACCACCTATATTTGTTACAGGAAATGTACATGTGTCAAAAAATGTTAAATATAGCTTGGCCAAAATTTTTAGCTACATACTAGAACTAGTTTATCATTAGCAAATAATATTTTTGCAAGAGAAAACTATATAAGTGAAAAGGTGCAAGTATGCAAAACTCTTGGCAACCCATGATCAGGGAATCTCCTTGCCTACCTCGAGGCGTTGCAGTACAAGAGCATTGCCACTGTTAATCTTCAAGATGCGGCTTCGTCCGTCGCCATACTTCACACTGGCATCTATAGCAATTGTCTGGGACACAACTCTGGCTGCGACACGTGCCAACGCTTGAATGCCTATAACAGTATCCTGCAAAGAATTGCAAAGTATGTGTTACTTTGATAAAGGGTATAAAGAAGGATATTAACAAAGGATGAATACAAAGAAAAGACATCTTGGCTACTTCGACATTCAAAATGAAACCAAAGATGTGCAGTACTTATTGTATCTTAGGATGCATCCTGGGACGATGGGCTTCCGTGAACATGTCAACTTTGTGTATTACTCTGAAAACTTTGTTTCATTAAAAAGCTCACCTCAAGGAGACACCTTAGCAATAAACGAGGTGCAAATGTACAGCATAAATACTTTAACAACATGCATATTTATCACCCAACTGGCATTCATCATTGAAATGCAAGTTGATGCATCAATGCAAGTAGTAGTGTACAGCAAAGGAGCTGCGTTGAAATATAGACTACAATAAATGCTGTAGTACACTCTGTAGTACATTTCTGTCTACATCAGCAACTGACAAATCTGAACTTTTCAATATTATATTTGGAATACTTATCTTTTGTAATCAACAACACATGCAAACAGGAATGTGTACCTGTGTAGAGCTGTAGCCACCATTTTCATTCTGCTTGGAAACCAGCCACCTCATCACAGGAATGGCATTGCCAATATCACCCCTTTCGGTTAGGGTAAGCAAAGCATATGCGGTCATCTCGACATCTTTGAAGCTGGGCTTGAAGAAGTAATCAGACTGCTTATCCGTAGTATTGACAGCCAGTGCTGGGTCTTTCCAGTAGATGGTATCCTCTGTATTGTAAAATTCACCATGTCTTATACACCACATACTAAAGTGAGATGCAAAGAAATGAATAAAAAAAAATTCCTAGAAAACAAATACAGTGAAATCTCATCATAATAAGCCCCATATGTCACGAAAAGCCCCCTAATACAGTTGATCAACAACATATTGTTTCTCAGTGGCGAGTTTTCATGGCTTTGTTCTACATATAAAGAGCTGCTATTCAATTAGTTATTCGAAAGTTGTGAATGTTCACAAACACCAACCAATCATGCGACTGAGAGGACCATGCAAAACCATCATATAATCCGGGTGTCGTACAATAAAAAAACAATATAAGCAGTGAAGCTCAGTCTTGCTCGAAAAATGAATACCGACCACAACTGCTCCAAGAAAGACAGACAAAATAATTTTGAAAAATGACAGTTCTGCATTTAATGAACAAGGTTTGGTGAATCTTCATTCTCATCATTAAAAATTCCATTTATTCTCTCACTCTGATGTCACCTTCTTTATGACAGAACGACTGCCTGCTAGGTAGAAGCACAAAACTGAAACCACATCGGTAAATGCCTGGTAATCACCATCATAAAATAGTAACAAAGCACATTTTGTGGAGTGTTTGCATTAGTTATTTGGTGAACGAGTGCTAACTGTATGCATCGTATGTGTTCCCAGTGAAGTACTAATAGTGATGTGCTGCTTTCATGACAAGACCTGTGACCATAAGTAGAGCAAATAAATAGAGAGAATCAGCTAAAAGTCAATCAGGAAATATTCCTACTGGCCAAAAAGAATGAAATAGACTAGCTTGTTGACTATCCTAATCCTTTCCCTCCCAAACACAAGTTGGGTCCACCCTGAAACAAAAGCTTTCACAGTGCCACATTCAAGCTACTCTCACCCGTGTTGCCAAGTTCTCTTCGGCTTCAACAGATGACTCCGTTAAAAATTAAAAACTTGCTCTAAGCATGCATTTGAGTTGAGAAGTGACTTTATGCAACCGGACTTGAATATGTCATCCTCTAGCATTTTTCTGTACCAAGGACAAGAGAAGCTTTGACACCCTCTGTGGTGCAGGTTAGAAAAAACAATTCTTTGCATATTGAAAAAGTCAGCAAAACTGCATAAGAGAATAAACTGCACTAGCTCACTGAGTATCTAAGCAAGTGCAGGTAGATCTAGCTGGTCTAAAAAATGGCCCTTAAATTTAGGTATATCCCAAGGTGATCTTAAAAACCAGAGAAACTAGCCGAAGAACATCAACCACCAAGAAAATCGATTTCCTATTCTATGTAGAAAGGGTCAACATATGGGTATATATTATCCTCTTCAGCCCACAGAAGGAAATTTCTAGACAATTTATTTCAAACTTCATTTTGCTCTTGAGTGCACAAGAAAAACAAGAAAACAGGGCCTTTAGGTCTTAACAGGTAGAGAACACCACAGAGCATTTTCTGCTCTGGAGGCAAAGGAAAACAAGTTTTGAGGAATCACTCTAGATTTACCTTCACACTGTTTTTCTGCATTTTCTATTTCATCCAAGCTTAAGTTGCTTTAGAAAGCGCCCTGGCATGTCATAATTTGTGCTGTCAAGGAGTAATAGAGTGATCCTGCAATTTGAGGCATCTTGTTCCCCGATGCTGGAAAGCACTGTCAATTTGTATAGCTGCTGTAGTAAGCATCATTGTCTATAGACTTAGGATCATCAAAATGTGAAAGATTGGCATTGTTGTTATGCAGGTGTTCTTTAATTTCTTTTTTTTTTTGGTCTGTGTTTTCCTAAACCCCAGATCCCGACCAGAGACATGCCATTTAAGCAGCTGTTAACTACAATTTACAATTCAGATTATACTTAAATATTGAATACAGCGTTAGTGGAGGCCCTTCAGTAATACTGTCATACGTTCTGGGTAAAAGGAAACCAAGAGAACCCCAAGAAAGAGCAAATTAAGCAACGCAAAGACAAAAAAGTTGACATTTGCTCATAAACGCCATTTTTAAACTCACCGTGCGTCACAGGTGCACGACATGGAGTGCCATCTTATTGAGCTCAAGTAGAGTAATACAATTCACACAAAAATTTAAGTTAATGGTAAAAATTATTTGCTTCGGAATTAGAAGTGCTTGCTCAAACAGATGGCCCCAAATGGGAACACAGGGACTAAAAAGGTTATAAAGCAGAAGTTATTACATTAATATTCATTTTTATTATGTACCCATGAAAATTGGGAGCACATTAGATTCAAGTAAATTGAATATTTTTTTTTTCTCAGACAGCACCTTAAAGGCATCGTACGGGGCAGGGTTGGCATAAAATTGCCGTATAGATATAATTAAGGTTTTTGTCACAAGTTTTGCCATAAAATGCAAGTTGTCACAAGAAAGGCAGATTTACAATCAAGGTTGCTTTGTATCACTAAAAGTGAGAACTTGGGAAGTTTAGGAGCCAATGCCCACATTGGCTGTAGTGACACCTATATGAAGTTACAACACTGTAAGTGCGCAATTTATTTGTGCTGATTGGGCATGAGTAAATGCACCAGGCAATTCTGCACAATTTTAACAAGCATAACCACTGAAGTAACATTCTGTGTGGTTCACTACAGCTAAACCTTATTTTCAATCTACTCATTACTAGGGCTCCCGAGTTTTCAAGCTATTACTTATACTTTTTTATAGTTCTCTACAAAATTATCAGTGGGGCTTTTACTGTATCTTATACTTGTTACTAGTTTTGACCTTACAGACATTCATTACATGCCGATACTATAATCAAGGAACATTTGAAATTGTGATATACACATTTTGTCATTGCTATGTTCACTGCACTATCATGACTATCATGACTGTTAAGCTTGCATAGTGGAATGAACAAATTATAATAGTTATGGCACTCACAAGGGGACATTAAGCTGCAACACAATCAAAAAGTGGGCTAGTGGGCAATTCATATTGTAGCACTAAATTTAAAGAATAAATGGCTTGAAGGTATGCCTTCGACATACCTTCTCTCGTTGATAGTGAAAGAAGCTTCTGGAAAGCACTGTCCTGGGAACTGTGACCCGAGAGATGCAAAGCATAAGTCACTAACGACACAACATAGGGATCATTGGTTGTCCGAAGCTCCTTCAGAAGGTAGGCCTCTGCTGCTTGGATTACACCAGGGTGTGTCTGCTTCGCCTGAAGAAGTATTAAAGAAAATGTAGAGGAGGCAGTCGCAAGATCACCCCAGAGAATTCAGGGTAAAAGATTGAAGAAGAACGGCTATTTGGGCTAGTTGGTTGAATTCTATGTTAATAGGGATTGCAGCACAAGCACGGAAGTGCTGGAAGAAAAGTGTACGGAAGGCGAGGAATGAAAGGCAAAGAGGGACAACACGAGCACTGACTACCAAGTGAATTTTTTTTTCACAGCACACATTTTTATATATACAAACAGGCAAAATCTCAACAAGCAAACGTGAGCAACGTGACACAGTTCTATGGAAGTGTCTGATAAAAACGCAGGCACAAATAAAAAAGGGCTTACCCCTATCCGAAAGTGCAATCTCTTTTTCGTGCAAACCCACCAAAGTCTGGCTCACGCATTCGTCACCAAATTTCCCAATACCCTATTTACTCGCGTACCCACCAAAGTCTGGCTCACGCATTCGTCACCAAATTTCCCAATACCCTATTTACTCGCGTAATCCACACACTCGCATAATTCTCGCACCCCCCACATCGCCCAACAAATATACGATTTCTTTTTTTCCTCAAGCAATTATCGCACCCCCGAAAACTGCCACAATAATGTCTGCTCGTTCCAGCCACTGATGATGATAGTGCATGCCATCTGGTGCCATCTCTTAAGCATCAAGCGTACTATTGCACGGAAATTAAATCCGATTCAAGCCAAGCCAAAGTGGCAAGTACACATTGTGGCTTGTTTTGTATGTTGTGTCGGTAATTTTGTCACGTTATAAGGCGGTACAGAAGCTACACAGCTGCTTTCAAGTTGAAAGTCATAGATCATGCACTACACAATGGCAACAACCGCCGGTAGGCCCTTCAGGGTCTACGAGTTTTATGTTTGCTGCTGGTGACGGCAGCTGAAAGCCACCAAGAAGCGTTGGGCCTGCTGTATGCCTAAAACTGGGATCGATGGTAAACTTTATTGCTTCAGAAAGAAACTGCGGACGATTCTGTTAAATAGCCATTAGCCCAATACTGACATCCTTCGCTTACCTTTTGAGGGCTCCTGTTGAGTGACGAACGCTACCGCTACGCCCGCAATGCCCACAACCTTTGCGTATGATATTTTAATTCTCGACTATTTCCTTGCACTTTTTGCGTCTCAAATAAATCTTGCCTTGTGTGGAACCTTGTGATGAACCTGTGCTTTTATTGTTGAGGTAAGCTTTATTTGGTACTTCTCAAAGCTTACTGTTAGTTGCTGGTGTGAGAATCCCGATTTGCGGCCACTTCGTTTTCTTTTTCGCTCTGTACGCTTTTGTGGAAAGTTTTTCTGACGTAATTCTCGCACCCCCCAACTTTGCATCAGTTTACTGCCAAAAAAAGTGTGAGGATTATGCGAGTAAATATGGTGGTAAGATACACTTCAGCAATTTTGCATGTTAATTTGACCTTATGGCTTTCCAGCACACTCACGGCCTGAAATCATGGAAGACACACGAAACCTTTACAGAGAATTACAAGGTTGGAACTTATCCCATTGCATAAATCGTTCTTATGTTCTCACAACCTTTTATTTATGCAACGTCCAGTTTTACTCATATAACTGCGACCGCACGTTAAAAGAAGCTTGTATACCACACTCATGACTCATTCTATAAATTGATTTGAGTGTTTTACGGCATGGGGCCGCATTCTTTTGGAAGGAACTCCGATAGTGTGCGCCCTATTTTGACGGACACCAGCACACTTTTCGTACCTTTCAGTGCAATATGTAGTTTGCTTTGAAGCAATAAACAGCACTAGGTTTGCTTCGCTCGCCTCCGCAGACATGATCCCTCATGCCAGCCTTTTGGGTTACGCGAGGTTGGATGCTGAAAAGCTTATCTGGTAGCCACAATTCGTATAACATCCAAATTTGTTGCTGTCGCATTCATCGCTTTTTCCTTGTGGCGAAATTCTTTTTTTCCTCTGCATAATATTTCATAGTTCATGTACTATTATTTTGCTGGCTATATGCTAATACAAGTCATGTTCACACCCCAGTAAAGATGTCTCATCTACCTACGGTTATTAGAAGAAGATATTTTGCATCCCACACACATACAAAAACTCACTTGCCTTGTTTTCAAGGAGGGCAATCATGACATAGGCTGTCAATGCGGCTCCGCTCCCAGCACCACTCTAGAAGGAAAGTACAATTCAAGCAACGTTACTCGGCTCAGAACACTAACAATGAAAGTATACATCTGGCTTTTCATTAACTGAGCCTTGCAGAACTGCAAAGGAGTACCAGTTCAATACAAGTTATTTTAATTTATGAGCGACATCAACATTGTCACCACTTTCATCTTCAAGTACACTTTAATTGCATACCTGCATTGGTTTGTAGATGATCTCTCCAGGTTCGTTAAATGACCCATCTTCTTGTTGACGTGCCACGAGCCAAGCAGTGGCATTTTCGAGTACTTTGGGATCAATAACAGTGTATGGAGAAGCCTGAGCGAAGCTTTTGAGAACAAATGCTGTCAACCATGTGCTGCCACTCCTATCTGTGTTGCCAAATGCACTGAAGGAATTATCATCACGCTTGTATGTCAGCTCTCGTTGATAACCTGTTGTGATCAAAGAGAAGCAGCAACAAATCAACAGACAAATCTTCAAATGGAGTGACCATTCTTATAAATAGAGCTTATAAGTAAAACAAAATGAAACTAAATGCATGCTGCACAATACTCAACATCAACATCAACTTCGTTTAAATGTATGCAACCATTGTTGAAAGTTTCAGCGGACTGCCACGTTCCTTGTGAGCACTCTCTCCCACAGTTGTCCATACAGTGCTTAGATGCATGTGATGCCATGCCAGCCGTGCTCAGCTCGAGTGCATTAGTGGTTTGTGTGTTCACGTGGCCAGCTAGGTTTCGAAACAAAACACACTGGATCCCACCTTTCTCAGCCCTCTCTGAAACCAAAACTGCAACTTGGTACTATAAAAACATCTCAATGTAATTAACTGTTGCGCACATAAGCAAATGAGGTTTCTAGCCAGGACAGGTGAATCACAGCAGAAAAACAAAATAAAATTATTGTGCCAGTACTCACTTTAAAATAATGTGTCTACGTATACAAAAATACGATTGGATTCATCAGCACATCCACCCCAATATCTATGGCTTTCTAAAGAGCTACGAAATCCAGCCAAAAATGCCAATGCTCCCTTGATCAGTTCACAACTTGAGGAGAGGTTGCTAATGTCACATGAGGTGCTATCTGTGGCCGACTAGCAATCAGGCATGGTGTTTAGTACACCTCACACCAATTCACATTTTTTCTTTCTCTCAGTTTTTGGCCCCCTAAACAACCATTTATGCTATTCTTCATCAAATCCTCACAGAAAAAGGCATCAACCCTGTAATTCTTTCCATGCAATTGTAAAAAGTACCATTGTTCTAGTGTAATAGAAACTATGCATATTCTTTCAGACATCAGGGTGTAAAGTAACCATTCAGCTGAAGCAACCATGTAGGCATCCTGCACCAACCAGAGGACAGACACTGCAACTCTTGTTAATATTTGAGACCATAAATGCCTCAGTCACTTAGTATTTAAAAAAAAGAGAGAGAGAGGAAGAGTTTTCTTTTTTGGCCATCACACTAGATGACATACTAGGCTGCCATTTCACCTTTACATTCACCATCCTAAATTCTGATGAGACAGTGTCTCATTGCACTAAATTTGGCTAAATGATGCCACACAAAAGGATATACAAAATAATTCAACCTTGTTGATTTGAATTGAGCCTTCCTGTACTGATAATATATTGTGCAAGGCAACAACTAAGTTCAGTGCTTTTACATGAGGGATGCAGCAATATTCCTTTATGCACTTTATTCATGGGAGCTGAAAGATCCGATACAAATGCATTCCAGTCTTACCATCTTCTAGGTTGCGTATTGCTTTGCTTCGAACAGCATCTGACAAACGGTTGGCTCTGCTTAGGTAGTCAAGAACAACAATGTTCGGCACAAAATCTAGCATGTTTTGCTCTCCACAACCATGTGGCATTACAAGCAGCTTGTCCAAATTGTTCACACTTGGGCCAAGAAGGTCACCTGCAAATACAATTTTGTGTTCATAGTTTTGTAGACACAAAATATACTATTAACATGAAAGTAGTCTTATAATTTCTGCATAACAACCTACACTGTGCATGCAAACGTACAACTTTGCTTATCAATATTATTCCTAAACGACAAAACAGGGGCCAAAATATCTGCCAACAAATTCAAATCACATCAGCAAACACTGCAGCAGATGCAAGAGCAATAGCTAGTTGTTTGATTGCAACTGTTTCAGCACTATAACACATATTCTCAACTTATTACTCACATCCTACTTTTGCTGTCAGGTGTGAGCAGCAAGAATGGCATTTTTTTACTAAATAGCAATTTTCACACATTCTGAAGCTTGACGTACTGATGCTAACTTGTAAAAGTACATTACACTAAGCAAGACGTTTGAGCATACCAAGAACACAGAGAAATGCGGTCAGATGCAAAAGTGCTCACGTATTCTCCCTACCCAAAATTAATGCAGATGATCCCATTGAAGGGCCACCCAAGCTTGACGTACTGATGCTAACTTGTAAAAGTACATTACACTAAGCAAAACGTTTGAGCATATCAAGAACACAGAGAAATGCGGTCAGATGCAAAAGTGGTTACGTATTCTCCCCACTCAAAATTAATGCAGATGATCCCATTGAAGGGCCACCTATCTTGTGTAGGGTAGAAAATTTTGTGGTAGCACTAAAGCAGGGCCCATTGTCACCTGTTTTTATGTCTCCAGCAAAGAAAGAACTCTCACAATACACTGACAGATAAAATTCTTTAAACTAAACATTTCTTAATCGGTACCATGCATACTTATATTAACACTAACAAATAGTTAACGCATTTACAATCATCACAACAGACAATGTAACTGGACATTTGCACAATAAGCGACTAACGCAAGCATAGGCTGCGCAACAAAGGACGAAAAAAAAACTGGACTAACACAGACAAACCACATATAGCAACTAAATTTATTGAAATGAAAAACCCATAAAGGATGGGGTGCCATACAAAAGAGAGGGCACACCCTTGTGTGTCATTTCACTCTTATCACAATGGCTATCAACAAAAGAAAATGCACTGGGGGTGTTATGTACAAAAGCTAAGATATTGTAGTGAGGCACATTATGGTGGGCCAATGTTATCTGCAGCTTGACAGAGCACATAAACGGAGATGGGGGGTCAAAAAACATGAGTTTTTTTCAAAATTACTGATTTTTTATTTTCGCCAGTTTTGATAAGATTAGTACCTCTACTGTTATGTAAAAAATAATACAGGTTGAGACATAACTGGAAATGCTTTTAAATTGCATATAAAGAGCACAAGGTGCCTGTTAAAAGGTCTAAAGTGTGTAGCTTGCTGCCAATAATGCGCCGCCGCTTGCCATTGTGGATCGCATGAGTCGAAGAGTTGAGCCTCACTCTTCAAATAACAACAGTTTCTCTCCCTGATGCAGTGCAAGAAATAATAAAAAGAAGCACTCTTCTGCGCGTTTTTCGAGCGCCGCGACTGGCTTATCACATGGTACGAATCGGGGACCGCCATTGGCCGCTGCGGGCCTGAATGTGCTGTGAAACCTATTTGCGGGGTCCATGTCTTGTCGAGCAGCGCAGTTAAACAATGCTTTTTTCGTGTAATTATCTCATTATGAATGAAAAAAGGCATTGCTCGCAAGTGAAACCCGTTGTGCGGCGTGCTCTGTAGGAATAGGCTACGAGCAGCTGGTTCAATTTGCGGCAGTAAATTTGTTGGCTTGCAAATGCCAATGCGTCAAAAGTCATTCATACCCATCAGCAGGAAAGTTCGTGATGCAGCAATGAATGACGTCAGCACCAATCTTGCGAAGTCGAAAGAGCTCGCAGTGAGAGAATTTAGCAGGGACGACATTGCCATTATGTACGACGGTATGTGGCACAAACATGGCCGCAAAATGGCACGACACTGCACTTAGTTTGAATTTCGCAGTCCTGTCGAACTTATTTCCAGCTTGCAGTTTGGCACAAGGCTCTGCCAGATGGAGCGGAAGTTTGGGAAGCGTTTCATGGCCCGGTCTGGGAGCGAAATGTCTGTGAGGAGTCGGCTCGAAAAAGCCGAGAGGGACAAACTCATGGGGGTGGCGTATTTTAGTCGCAGTGGCCACTACAAGAAGGATTGTTCTTTTTGGTGTGCAAATTTCATCAGATTTAATGATATCTTTCATAAATAAAAACTCAACTTTAACTTTAAAACTCGTTTTTCTCAAAACACAAATTTTTCCATGTTTTCCAATGTGCCCCTCCTTTTTCGGGCACCTCTAGTGCTCGGATCTGCATGAAATTTTGCCCAATTTTTTCCCAAAGTATGACAAATGCAATTATCTAGTTTAAATTTCAATACTTTTATTGTATAATAAAATGTTGTATGTAAACCTTTACTAGGGTAGGTGAAATATGGACTTTTTACGCCTGTTATTTTTCACGCATATTACATATTTTTTATGTGCTTCCTCATTAGTTATTTGCATTCTACACTTTATTTGACACAATATGAACTATGAATAGTAAAAAATTAAGGAAGTTTAGGGATGAAACGAGGGGGGGCAAAAGGGTTATGGTTTTCACTTTGTCATGTTGCAGAGCTAAAAGCGTGCAACCTACAAAAAAAAGCTAAGGATATATTTGAAATCGGCATAAAAAGTTCCATAAACAGCTCAAGTTTCATTGTTCTAGGGTGAATATTAAAAAAAGGAATCTCTTCGAGTAGAATCTCTCCTTAAGTAAATTGGTGTTTATGTAATCGCATCCACTGAAATATGGCCCTTGCAGTCAAGATTGAACCCCGCAACATTGAGATTTTGAGTCAAGATTTAACCCCACAACATTGAGCACTGGTTTACTTTGGCAACTTATCGGTAAAAAATTTAAAACACTTGCCAATTGCAGAAATGGTGATCCTCTCCGATCCAGGAACTGCATTCTTTGGAATGGGAATACTGATGTTAGCAACAGTGGGTGGAGCTGAAGGATTCCTTCTGTCAATTAAGATGGCTTTGTTGAAGTGCTGTTTCGAGCCTTCAGGCTGCAGAAAATAAAAGCAATTTTGTAGACAACATTGCTTGGAAAACTTGTTGCGGGAAAGATTGCCAATTTGATGAAATGGTCTTGTAGTACTTATAAATATAATACAAGCCTCACTTCAAATGAAAATTTTTTCTTATTTTGTAGGAGTGCTGCTATGTTGCAGTCTTCAAATGCCCATTATTTTAAGTCCAAAACCATGAGTTAGTTCTCAGCTGATAAATAAACCAATAGAGTTCCAATACACAAGTATGGTACTAACAGACACATAGCATGCCAATATATATGACTACTATGCCAATAGACCAATACGCAATAGGCTAATAGAGTGCCAATAGACCAATACACTAATGGACCACAATGCCACCTATAGGCCCATAGGATACCAATAGACAAATATGTTCAGTAATCAGATAGGCTACTAGTTTTTCCATAAGCAATTTTTACTAGGGTTGCTACTACATTTTAACAATAAAACTGTTGTACAACCATATTTCTTCTATTAGAAAATGATAAAAAGGGAGAGAAAAGCACAATTTTCTATCAAAGAATAGAAAATTTATTCTGGCTGTTCACATTTTCATAGGCTGTTTTACTGGCTTTGCTATCACTTTAGGATACGCCTCCACAGCATACTGCTACCTTGACAAAGCCAATATACACCAAGTTGCTTAAGAAATTCTGTAAGCTTTTTGTTAAGTTCAGACACTCTCTTATTTTCAGACCCCATTAACTTTTTTCAATGACGTGCAGCTGAAGATCTCCGTTTACATTACTCACGATCACCAGCCTCAAGCACACAAGAAAGACACGACGCAGCATTATTTAGTGTGCAAAATGACCTTTATTTGCCGTGCACTTTCATCACAATTTTCTGCATTTTACTACGAACAGATACAGCATGCACAGGCCCTATTCAAAACAACACAAACTGACCACAACATGTGCTCAGGCACCATTGTGTGGCGACGATAACAATGTATCTGACACCAGGTGGGAGGGCTAGTGTCGCATATGTGATTTCTGTTTCATGTGATTGTAATGCACAGTCAATCTTTGTTCAAGTTTTAACTTTCATTTGGCTTTTTTTTGCCCTCCCCCCTTTCTCTTGCATTTCTCCCTCTAGCCAAGCTCTTTTCTTCTGGTCTCCATTGTATTCCTGTTGGGGATCTGGAGATTGCGAGAATACGATGAAAGAAGAATGTTTTTTATTGCTTTCTTTAATGATAAAGCCCCCCCTTACACGACCTACAGGCTAGAGGTGAGGGAGATACCAGCTTTATGCACTGATCTTGATTTATTGATTGATATGTGGGGTTTAACATCCCAAAACCACCATGATTATGAGAGACACCGTAGTGGAGAGTTCCAGAAATTTCGACCACCTGGGGTTAACGTGCACCCAAATCTGAGCACACGAGCCCACAGCATTTCCGCCTCCATCCAAAATGCTGTATGTGCTGATCATTCTCTTCAGCTTATCTCGCTTTCTCCTTCCATGTTTCAATTTACTGTCTATTTGGTTTGAGTCATTGCACCAGAAAGTTACACACACACACACACACACACACACACACACACACACACACACACACACACACACACACACACACACACACACACACACACACACACACACACACACACACACACACACACACACACACACACACACACACCACACACACACACACACACACACACACACACACACACACACACACACACACACACACACACACACACACACACACACACACACACACATATATATGCACAATCCCCGTTGTTCTTCGCTGCGGTAGTTTGTCTTAACAGAAGAGGTCTGTTCAGCGTTTAGTCTTAAGCGATTTTTTTATTTATTTATTTTTGCATTGAGTATGGGAAAGCAAACAAACACTCCTGCGTTATTCGTTTTAAGCAAGAATTCATCTTAACAGAGTTCGTCTTAACGGGAGTTTACTGTATTCATAGACTCTCAGTAAACGGAACCTGAAGGGACTGGGAAATTATGTTCCACTTAACAGGAGTTCCGTTTACTGAGAGGTGAACATAGGTGCAGAATACAAGCCCGAAACCAAGCATTGCAGAGACAATAGTTCCGTTTAAGCAGTAGTTCCGTTTAACAGATTTCCGTTTATTGAACGTCTACTCTATATGCAAGTTTATTAGTTTACATACAATTTATTTAAAGATACCTTACAGGGCCACATTCAACATTGTCCAAGTTGTATGAAAGCTGCTGTAAATTCCCTTCGATATAGTACCCATATCTGTGCACAACCACACAGCAAATACCATGTGCACACAAAGCAAGGATAAAGGAGGTTGCGCACTCTAAGAGGGAGGGCGTGTACTGCCCCCTGTGGGTGTGCATTTGCATGTGCTTGTTCATTTGTTTGGCCATGCAGGGAGTCTAAAGAAGAAACTCAATAAACAATAAACAAGAAGACCAGTATAGTACCAATGGAGAACGAGCGATTGATTGATATGTGGGGTTTAACGTCCCAAAACCACCATATGATTATGAGAGACGCCGTAGTGAAGGGCGCCGGAAATTTCGACCACCTGGGGTTCTTTAACGTGCACCCAAATCTGAGCACACAGGCCTACAACATTTCCGCCTCCATCGGAAATGCAGCCGCCGCAGCCGGGATTCGAACCCGCGACCTGTGGGTCAGCAGCCGAGTACCTTAGCCACTACACCATCACGCCGGGGCCCAATGGAGAACGAAACATATGCAATGGCTTGACCAATTGCCTACATTTATTATATTCAAGATATCGAAAAAGCAAGTTCATGAACACATACTGGGCCTGGGCATTTCCTACATAACTGCTATATCAATAAAATTATGTAAAAATAAGGATGGCTCTGTTAAGAAATACCATACATTTACCTTGACAAGAAGCTTCTTCAATATAGCATCACCCGCCAGACTTGAAGTAGCGGACACACGTATGTCAATGTAGCCTAGCTTAAGAGGTGTGATTAGAAAAGACACAGGTACACCATCTTGAGCTGGCACCTGAGGAGCGACAATGAAAGTTATCAGGAGCACAGCATAACTTGTTCATGGAACAAGTTAGTTATGTGTAATAATCATGCAAAGTTATAAAACCAAAAAACACATTGAGCACAGGTCCTGCAGAAGTACTGTAACATTTGAGCAAACTAGTACACAGAAGTTAAATTTAAGCCAAAACCGCAAAACAACATCGTTGCTGTGTAATGCTGGTGAAACCATAAACACTGACCAGAAATAATTAAATCACGATATCTTATGTGCCTAAAGAAGATTGAGAGCCATGAAATTGTGAAAGCTTCTGAATTTATTTCTATGGCCTGCGATATAGATGTGCACCTATATGTTATAATTGGAAGTAATGTTGAAATATTTCATACTTCATAAGAAGTGTCCAAGAAACAGCAACACTGAAGTCAAAATACTAGCATTAATGAATTGCTTTGTCACTGGTCAAGCCCATCAGTACTTATACCTGCATCATATTTACATTCTGAAGCGAGTGCAGCAGCCTGTTCAGATTTGAAATGGCATAACACTATTCATGCTGGTTGTGCAATAAGATGCTCTTTCACTGTAGAACTGGGGACAACTCGCAACAAATTTTGGATACAGCAACAATGCCTTAAATAATATGATAGTGACAGTTCAGTTAAAAGTATTTATAGACCAAAAAAGTAATGCATTCGTGGTAATAGTACTGAATTCATAAAAGCTTAAAAGAAAACAAGAAAACAAGTGGCGGGGCTTACATCAATGCAAGTATTAAAATGAACAAGCTCTTGGATTTTCTTTTGTACAACTGGTGTTTGTTTAAATTAAAACTTTTGCAGACAGTTTTACTTTGTATACAGTTTTTTTCATGCTGTTTCAATATCAGCACAATGTACAAAACTCAAGTACGCTTTTAGAAGTTAAAGTGAAGTGTACATCTGGAGTTACACAGCACATAGTAGCAATGACCAAAAACTTCTCTAAAACAGTACTTACTCTTACTGTCTTAGAACGCCTGTCTTTTTCTTCTCCTCTGACATCATTTGACAATGAACTGAAGATAAACTCTCCACGTCGATTCTCTAATGTGACTTCCGCCTACAATGCATGAAAGTAGTTATAAATAACTAAACACAAACACTGCTGTATAATGCTAAAGCATTACAGGTTCAAAAAGAAAAAGCTTGCCTGAACTTCCTTGTTGTTGTAATTGAAAACTACACACTGAATTGCCACACTCTCTCCGCGAAGAACAGAGTATGGCAAACTAGCGGTCACAAAAAATGGCCTGAAGACGGTCACCTAGAACAAAAAACATTCTCTATCAAAAATTTGCAAACAAAGTTTTTCTCAAGATCTTCACCCAAAAATGCTGTGGTGAGTAACACAACAGGATTAACATTCATCTGCTTAACAATTTAGTATGTAAAAACTGAAAATTGAAGCATACAGTGACAGGTGAAATACTGAAATCATACTTGTACAATTTGTAGTTCACTTCAACAGCAATTACTCAAATTTTATGCTAAAATGCTATTCCTGGCCATTAATTTTCCTCCATTAAAAGTTCTGCTAATTTTGCATTCAATAGAGAACTGTGCAGTAAAGTGCCATAGGCCTTCGATATCCAGTGCTCACTGATTGAAATGTGACAACTCAAGGCAAATACCTTCGTTGTCCTTGTGTTCAGTGTGTACGTCATCACAATAATATTTGCTCGTACACTTAAACCGCAGACATCATTTTTACTAATCTGATTCATAGCGAGATGACGTGGTTACCTTGAGCAGTTATGCATATAAATTTCTGTACTTATTTGATGTTGCGTTTTACTCTGCGAGCACTATACTTTTGCCAATTGAAGTAAAAGCAAAGGCTGTAATCGACTGACACAGCACAGACCAGTGGTAGAACAAAAAGTACCCCATGTACAAGATAGTAATATCTGCATACTAATATCTGCATATGCAGCAAGCCTTTTTAGTTGATTAAATCCTTTTGGTGATATTCATCACAAATTAGCAACATAATAGGGAATCTTACTTTTGCTTGGGAAGGTGCAATACCAAGACCAGTGAGGGAATCTAGCGCGAATGCACTGATAACCCATGATGTAATGGTGTCAGGTACAGTACTTGAGATGACAGCCCTACCATCATGACTGTGATAAGAAAAAACAGATTTTTATCGTTAGGAATGTTTGAAGGACATCACGAATGCATTTTATAGTACACCAAACAACAGTAAATCAACTTATCATGGTCTTAAGTACACATTCATTCCTTTCAGTACTCAAAGCCAGCCAGTTGTGAAACTACTAAAAATGCAATTTAGAATAAAAGACAGCACTGCAAGAATGAAAGCTTGTATTCACCTACACAGATAAAATTTTATTTGAGAGTTCACATGCCAAATCAGCAATGAGAATACGAAATTATGACACATGCAGTAAATGGCATACTCTCGGTTAACAACAACCAGCTGGAGTTTTTACATGCACCTAAATCTAAGTAAATGAGCACCACTTTTTTTCCAAACAAAATGTGACCATGGTAACCGAGACTGGATCTGCAATTTCAAGTTTAGGTGCACAGCACCATACCCACAGGGATATCATGGCAGGTCACACAACTAACATAGTACAAGACAGTCAAACCTTCAAGTCGCACATGGGAGGCCCATACAGTAGATCTGTTTCTATTAAATATTTAATCTTTGTGTTTTGCTGTGCTTCTACCTCTGCTTTATAGTGCAAGAATTGCAAGTACAACCAACTTCTGCATTCAGGTAACATTATGGATGACAAGCCTATAAAGAGACTTCTCCATGCTGCATGAACAGGAATCGAGCAATCATCACTACTGTACAGAACACAGCACAACAAGACCTCTGAATACAAAACTAAGTTGTTTTAGGAATGTAAACAAAGTGGCATCATGATACATTTTTCATTTGTCTTTTATTCAACAGCTAGTTTCTCTTGCACATTGACGAGAAAAATTTGTCGCATAAGCCACATCGTTAACTCAACCCACTGCTCTCACTGCACCCAGGAGTGACCTCCATAACAGCACACAGCCAATGCAAATTGGCAGAGCACCAGAAATCGAAAATGGCAGCATTCTCCCTACAAGATGAAAGTTTCACAGCAAGCCACATTTGCGAATACCTGGCAGTGGCATTGGTCCAAAGCCAAGTTTCAGGGTACTGCTGACGCAGCCTAATGCGACCAGGCACCTGAGGGGGTGCTTCGGGGAGCCCAGCCGGTGGAAGGACGGGATTGGTCAAGACATCTGTGTCTAGACGAATCACTTGCTTCCTCGCATAGACTGCCGGAGTGTCCAGAGGGAGCAAATGGAAGGACGGACAAGGGCATGCAAGAGAGGTAGAATAAGGAGAAAGACGAAAGAACAAGAGGAGAAACAGAGGCACTGAGTAAGCATCCCACACAAAAAATAACAGAAAACCATTAGGCCCCTTGACAATGCTCAAGCAAGCCAAAAAAAAAGTCTATTTTCATTTAGGTTACCACCCTTGCAAACACAAATAGCAGAAAATGTGTTTCCTTTCTGGAAGCAGTATACTTAGAAGGCATTTTTCAATTTGATGGCTCATGCACAAATGAAAAGAAAGTGGGGGTGGGAGGGGCATATCTGGGGCATCTTTCAGTTCATGTGTCTCACGTATCTTTTCGTTCATTATTGCTGAGCACTCGCTAATTCCAAATCTTGAATGACGCACATGCCATAACCATGGCATGAATTTCTCAACAAGGACACCGAAAGCATGCAGTGGTAAAGAAAGAAAGCATGGCAAGCATGATGAATATTGTCTGACAGAAAGATGCCCCAAACATGTATCCCACCTTGTTTTTACAGTTGATGGCCTACACCTAAGAAGTTATTTACAGCCATAATACCTGGTTTCAAAAGCACACTTATACTACCAACAAAATGGCATTTGTAGAGGAGCTATTACTGTGAATTAATGTTTGAGATGCCCAAATCTCCTGGTTTCAAAAGCGCACTCATACTACCAATAAAATAACATTTATAGAGGAGCTATTACTGTGAATTAATGTTTATGATGCCCAATTCTACTCAGAAAAGAAAAACAATATGAACAAAACATTAAGCTTTTGAACATCATCCTATCATTCAAAAGAAAACTTGTTTAAATTCACCTTTGAAATCCATACAGGTTAAGCAATGTTCCCCTCTGCTCCTTCATGGTGACTTCAGCATAGCTATTGCAGCTAAACCTCTATATAACAATAACGAAAAACTGGCACTTCTATCCCATCAAATCCTGTTATATTATCCCACATAGGACGTCTAAAGTTTAGCAATCTTCACGATTACATCCCTAAAACTCTGCATACATTCTTGGGTTTTTCTTTACCTTCATTCAAAAATTTTCCAGGATGTGCATGTGTGTGTGTGTTTGTGTGCACATGTGTATTTTATTTTCAGATCAGTTTTTCTGGCTTTTCTTAGCTTATTATACTTTTCAGAAGTTGGGGAGCGGTTTGGGAAGATGAATATTGGTTAGCTAACTATGTTGACACTTGAATGTGCTGTTTGACTTAAGATCCTGCTCTGAAACAGTTAATACAAACAATATAAAGGTTTTGTGAAGCAGTCTAGCAAAGACTAAGGCTACTGTATATGCATCTGCAGCTATACTCATAAGGCTAGAGCAACTTAGATATTCAAGCACAAATATTTTAAGATTTTGTAATATCATATGGGCACAGTGCTCCAACAAATGTTTTAAAAAAATGACAGCTGACATCAATGAAATCACTCAGTTGATCTACTGTACTGGCTGCAGCCAGAAAACTGCAAGAACAGAAGCCAAAGCAGCCAAAGCTGCCCAAAACATCTGCTGCACTATTTTCGATTTGAATTTTCATTGCAGCAACAGGTGAAATAGACGTCAATAGAAGTTATTGGAAGTAGGCTGATGCACTACTTTGACTTCACCTGGCTTCTTGCAGCAAAGCAAACGTAGACTCACAATAGTGCACCGAGTGCCACCTTGCAAAGCTCCTTCCCTATAGGCACTCCATTGGTAATAGTGGCTAAACACTAGTCCATTGGTAATAGTGGCTAAACACTAGAAGTTGCAAGCCATTTTCTAGTGTTATATAAAAGTATCCTTCCCACTGGTTCATTACTCAAGCAGGAGAGAGGTACTATCTACAAACACTTCACTTTGCCATGGCTATTATTGACTATTGTCCCTGTACTCTACCATTATCTGTAATTGAGGAGCAAGTCACGTTCTCATGAAAGAGCGCCTATTTTCAACTTACAAGCCCTTAATTTTCATTTTTTACACAAAAAAAATAAATTCTCGGTATAATCGTGTGCAAATGTGTAGAGGCTGATGACAACGGCCATGTTCCGCTGTCACTGCAGTGTTCGGCCTTCATTATTGCAGTGTTCAGCCAATTGAGCATTGAAGATACAAACAGAAACAACTTTATATTAATTATATGAAGCTGTTTGATTACTATAGGTGGAGCCCCTTTCCCAGGGACCCTGTAACTATTGCAGCTCACCAGACCTGGTCAGTGGTTGCTAATTGACACAGTTCAGTTTGTGAAGTCAAGTCACCCATGACCAGTTTATTGTCCTTAATTAGCAGTGAGAGGGCATCTGCCAAACACTGCATGCACTGGTAGGTTTTGTATTCGAGTGTCAGGATAGAGTTGCACCGTGAACATTTGTCACTGTTTTTTGGGAAATGTTTGCAGCCTATATGCAAGTGTGGGCAGAAACTAAAGCCACACCTCACCCAAACTCAACAGGCGACAGGCAAGAGACTGGCACCAAATAAAAACAATGAAGTGTTGGGAAAAGTTTGTACACCAGCCTGCCCCTAATTTGTTGAGTGTTGTGCATGCTATTTCTGCTGCAAATGTAAGTGGCTTTGCGAAGACCACAAAAAGCCGCTGTAAGCATCACACAAAAAAAACCACATCATGCGTGCTGTTCTAATTTGCATAGTGAGATTTTCTCCCTTCTACACCACTATAACCTACATCACCCTTGCCTTATACTGGTTGTAGCAGTGAAGCCAGGTGCTATCGAAATAAAATTTGGAGTAAAATCCCCAGTAGCTTTTCATCATGAAACCAAATGTGCACAACAACATTAAACGATGGCATTGTCTCGTAATGCTAATATGTTATGTACATGAACAGGAGCAGACAAATTGGCCATTAAGCCACTGGCACAAGCTTTACGGCTCAGTACTGATTTACTTCAACAGTGCGTTCACTATTTTCATATAATCGAGTTTCCCACGCTTAGCTTTCTGGTTATATGGCTGAAAATATACAAATTTGCGAAGTTTGTTACATGAAGATTTAACTGCCTTACCAGATATCTATAGAGAATTTATTGACTTGATACCTTCCTAAGTACTTCCTCGCAAGTACTTTTAGGCAAGTATTTCATAAAGCTGTTGAGATAACCCCAAGACATTTACAAAACTATACTTTGCAACCTCCCCAATTACCACATCAGATCTTACTTCCGAAATGCTACAGCTGTAAATTCTGGGCCGCAGGAAACAACCACAGAGCAATCATATTGCCGTTCGAGTTTCCACTTCGCCTACTGTGGTGAAATTACTATTCATAGTACTGTTTCGTTGATTCTAAACAAGTTTATTGCTGAAGTTTTTGTTTTTTTAGTGTCACCGTAACTATCAACATCTGAGAATACATTCAGAATTGTCAACTGTAAGGAAGATTAGGTAGTAGATGTCTTGCACATTATATATATATATATATATATATATATATATATATATATATATATATATATATATATATATATATATGAGCAAGAGAACAGGAGAGATTAAAAAAAACGGTTCAACCGTACTCATATATATCTCACATCAGTCCATTTGTATGCTAATTTTTCCCCATACTTGAAATAGCTTGTGTTAGGAAAGCAGCAGTCAGAAAAGCAGTAGCAAAGAAAGTAGCCAGCAGTGAAAAACACGGATAGTAGAACAGCCCTGAAGTAGAGGTTTGAAAGTTGAGGTTCAGATGTAGGATATGTGTCTAAAGCAAATGTAATAACCAAAGTAATACTGTATCAGCAGCAATTAAAGTAGGGAAATTGAAAGGAAGCATCCTAAGGTACAGATATTTTTAAGTACATGCATGACAGTGATCACCACTGAACTTCTGTTGTTCATCATTCAGTGAGATTATAGATTGGGTGAACTCAGACTAATGGTAAAGGGATGACTGCCTTGAAAACAACCACCAAACTATCCACATAGTCACTTAGCCAGGCTCTCATTGGCACCAAGATGTGCTCAAAAATTAACATCGTACAATAATCATGGGAAAGATTTCAGTGCTTTCTTAAGTAAACACTCAAAAAAGCAGCTCAACAAGTGGGATCGCCAGGAAATACCCAGCTCCTATGCACATAGTGGCTACCATAACAATATAGACAGTGACACAGATGCCTGCAGATGAATATGAAGCTAACAGGGACCATAAGAAGTTATGAGCTGAGAGAGCACAGCCACCCATACAAAAAATCTATGCCAGCTTCACTGGCACTGAGTACTTAAAAAATATTACTTTCACATGCATTTGGTGCACAGCACATCCAACATATTCTTAGTTCACAAGACTCCATCGTGAGCTTCGATTACATACGATGTTAAAAATAAGTTTTTTTATGTAAGCTAACAAGTTTTTTTTTTTTTGGACAGATATTTTTAAGTGTTTACTGAAATGTTTGTGTACAAGTTAGGTGGAAAGTTTATGAGTATCTTCATAAATAAAATAATTATAGCACTTACACGACAACAAATAATATCACTGAAATATTCCTAATCATAAGCAACATAACTTCTTAATGTTGTGTAATATAGTGTGTTTTCCTCCATATTCTGGCATAGTCTTACATCTTTGAAGGGGCATGTGAAGTTGTTGGCAACTAAAAAGGCAAAAGGAGCCAGGCATCTGAAGCAGAAGTCCTTTAATCGTGTGCAAATGCTACATGCTTTAAATTTCCAATACTATTGCTTTACTCCGAGCTAGGTTAGCTAGCAAGTTTTCCAGTGTCATTAGCAAAATGCTCCCCAACATGGGGCATAATGCCCCAGTAATTATTGCTTTGTAAGTTTTCTTTTAATCTCCGAATTTCATAAACAGGAATACGAAAGCTCTTATTTGTATCACATTTTTTTACTGTGATACAAATGATGTACATCATAAGCGATTTCCGCATGGTTGCATTAAGTAGCAAGAAGAGGAGCAGCATCAGAAATCCTGAATACAGCTTAATTGTATTGTAACTTTGTCTTGATTATGATGGATGCTACTATGGAAGGTTCCAAGATTTTCGTGCGTTCTCAGAATTGGAGACATCGTGTTCACAATTCACAATAATTGCAAGGACCTTTCAAGTTACACTACATGCTATGGCTTGTTTATCATTTAGGAGATGGGTATTTGGGTAGTTTTTTTAAAGAGATTTGTCGGTATACCCATGCGATCGAAAGGATTGGTCATAACTTAAGAAGGAAGGAGACTTGCAAAAAAACATCTGGACAGTTGGCAGGTGGCTGTGTCTAATATTTAAAGGTTCTTAACGCAGTTGCGAAAATCCATTCACCAGGAGTTTTTTCACGAGCAGCTAAATCTCAAGCATTTTTGCTTTTGCCTTTTACAAAAATGCAGTATCCACATTAGGGAAGATTCAATTAATTTGCATTTAACAGAGAGCACAAAACAAAAGTGATTTGTGGAGTTTTGCATACCTATGAAGTTACTAATAAAACTATGCATTGCAGGTACAAGCAGAAAGAAAACCATGCGCACGCCAAGTGTATGCAAGCAAACATCTCGGAAAGAGATGTTGCTGTAAGAAGTACATGTGGTGGTGTGCTGTCAACTGGGTGACAACAATTGATCTGCAGCAAACAGTACTAGCTGTACTACGCTATAACTATGTAAATGCAAAAGCAATGGGTCCTGTGAACAGAGTGCAGAAATAAAAGCAAAAGCTTCTGCATGTCTGCTGCTTTTATTATGCAAATAATAAAGCCTCCAGCCACACAAACATGTGTATAGTCAAACTGGCAGTATTTCAAAGCATATTGTAATCCCCTGTCAGAGAATATGCCAGCATTTTTATGGAAATTCCCACAATTACAATAATTTATGGAATCTCACACTTTTTTTATTACTGTATACCTACTAAGACCAAGGCAGAGGCACAAATCAAGAATATTCCAGGCATAATTAAAAACACTAATATAACGTGTGCATGTGTTTAGATCCACAGCTTTACATAGATGCAAAATCAAGCTGTGTAAACTAAAATTTCAGATGCAGCGAAATATACTTGGCTAGGTAGACTACTGGTACTTGACAAAATTACTTTTATAGTAGTCAACTAGAGTTGTAATTTTACTAGAAGCCACCTGGCACGACCCCCATGTGAACTGCTGCTCCTATCAATATCTGATAAGAAATAGCCTCAGCAAAACACTAAAGTCTCAAGAAAATTTCTGTATCATTTTTTTATTGATTAGTTTATCCATTCATTATAAACATGGCAGCCTGATTCCTCTAAAAGGCTATACACTACCTCATCTCTTAAAGTTTTTCAGTAGCAATACAAAGCATCATGGGGAGTCTTTGGACAGAGTAGGAGGCAAATTACATCAGACAAAATTGGAGATAGCAGTTTTGTAGTACCACGCACCACTTAAGTGCATTCCCTCACTGTGACTGCACTGCAAAATTTCGAATGTACTGAGCATCCAAAAGTATAACTGAACTGTGTGCACCAGTGAGCTGCTCTGCATGGTAAACCTAAAAATGACACCACATAGCTTATCGTTATGAAAAGCTTGTTGTCAGTGTGTGTTTCTTTTTATGAGATGTATGTTTAGATGTATAATCTGGGAAGTATCAAATCTGTACAGTGCCTCTGTGACGACTCATGCTCCCAATCTAGTGTAACGTGTGATACACAAACACACACTGGTGTGTACTTCAAAGTTTGCCTGCTTCAAAGCTGATGTACCACTGAAAATTATGCAGTCATCAAAGACCTGTAACTTCTGGCTGTCCATGTACTGATATTTTAATGTACAACTGCAGTTTGCCTGCAAACATGTCTGCAAGGCTGGAACGGCTTTTATTAGGATCAATAGGCCAAGCATGCTAGAAGCAAAAGCCTACCCTGTTAAGGTGTTATTCCACAGCCAAGTCTCAGGAAAGAAGCGTCGCAGTCGATGATTTCCCTCGTTATGACCTGCCGATCCCCCACTGTATGCAGAGTCTTCAAGCTCAAAGTCGCCACCGAATCCGGAACGATAGTAGACTGAGGGGTTGGCAATTATGGCATGGAGAAAAGATTAAGAAGGGTCAACAATAGTGAATACTATGGGTGGGCATTAGCAAGTTCTCCAGGGCTTTTTAAAAACTATGGTAAGCTACCTTCGTATTACAAAAGCCATATGATAAAATTTGTAATGTTATCTTTTCTTTGCTTCCCAACATAAACTATTTTTAATTACAAACATTCAGTTCATTAACAAATAGTACTATGACCAACTACAACAGCTTTTGACTATTAATTCTTGCTGAAACAACAGAGCACACCAACTAGCCTAACAGTAATCATAACATGATTAAAACATTTAATGCCAAATGACACCAAGATTATTTCATAAATACATGCAAAAAAAGTTATGTGGATGATCCCCTATCATCAGAGATTCCAAATTAACCACTTCACAAGGCCCATAATCGAAAACGATTCTAGAGAAGTTATACATGCTCCTCTTAAGCCTGAAAATAACATTCATGATCACAATAAGGGCGCTTGTGTATCCAACTAAGGCAATCAAGCTGAAAATGATAATGCACTTAACAGCATATTAAAATGAAATAAATGGGTCTCTCAACATTGGAAGCAAGCTAAAAGCAGCCATTCAACTCACTGGCGTCATCAAACTCGTACACAAGGCCATTTGTAAGGACAGTCATGCCTGCATCCTGCATAGATTACAAGAAATTCTATGAGCAACACAACACAAATTATTTACAAGAACCTTTTGAATATTTTCTTGTACAGTTTCCTTCAAAAAGCAGATTAATTGGGCAAAACAGCAACTAGCAATGAAGTAGGAACAATACTGCCCACTAAATTTGGGTCCACTATTTACAAGTGTCCCACATTACATAAATATTTATCTTGAAACAAATGATGCCACTGCTTGTTTCAATTAAAGCACTGCTTTCTTTCTCATTAAAGCTGCATGCTTGAAAAAAGTAGGTGCCTGAAATTTAAATATCGTAACTTTAATATTACCTTAAAAAGATCATGTGTAGTTGTTGATCCTGGCCACCAAAGGGAACGCCTACGCCGTCTGTACCATGGAGGCCAGTACTTTGCCTTCTTCCCACTGTCAAATGACTCCAGTTCTTCTATGACCTGCCATATCATAAAGTAAACTCGGTTAATTTTGCCCGCCTCCCAAGAATATAAACAGGTTTCCCTTGCATTTGAATGAAGTGGCTCACCTGTTCCTGGCTCAAGTCATTGCCCTTCTTAAGGAGCAATACACTCTGGTCAACACCAAGAACACCGATGTAGGCATTAGGTTTTGTTGATACCAATACATTCACTTGTCCACCAGGCTTTGTTTCAGCTATGCTTGTCTGCACGTGAACCTGCAATAAATAGCCACCAAGGATGTGAGAGTTGTATAAACTGCAATATACATTTTTATCACATTTGAGGGTGAAAAAAGAAACCGCCAGGCCTGTACAGAATGCACAGCACAGTCACACTGAAAGCATTAAGAGCGGCCTTTCAGAGCCTTTTATAAACACTCTTTGGGTAACTGCTACAAGCACAGTTGCTGAGCACCCACTACGCCATAAAACATCATAATTTTTGCATAGTAGGCTGGCATTCATTATGCTATCCTTCGTCATTCTTTGGAGAAGCATGGTATCTGCTACGCACTAGCGAGGAATTTTGTGCAATTTTTTTTATGCAGTGGCTGACGACAATGAATTATGCCTGAAGTGGGTATGCCCCACAGTTAATAAATGATCACGAACAAGTTTTTGCAATGGGTTGGAGGATCGGACAACCCTCTCATCATGCAATTTGCATTGTGTGACACCTGGTTGTTCCTTTGCTGTTCTAAAATGTTTTATTACTCATACTAATGCCATTCCTTCCCCAACAACAAGCCTACCTAAGGCAAGCTTGCAACGGAGTTTCAAACAATGGCGTGGCTCTGCAGTAGAATAATAGGCTGGCAAACAGGGGACCAGGGTTCGAATCCCCCTGTGTCCTTGGTGTTTTTATTTACTAGGTTTTTTTCTTATTTCATGTGATAGTGGTTACGAACACCAGCAGCGGTGGCGGCAGACTACAGCGATGCACGCGACCTTTGTTGTGATCTCATAACAGCTTTCCCTGTAAAAATATCTAGAGTTCAGATTGGTTGGTTTAAGAGCACGGCCAACCAAGAATCAATGAGACATCAGTAATTTTGGTTCATCATCTCCTCAGTTCATCAGATATCAGTGATTCGATTGATGTCTCAAACTAAACAGTCCAAATATAAATAAAATTTGTCATAGAAAAGTGCTAATTTGACTGGAAATTGAAGAACTCAGCATACTGAAATAGTAATTTTTTCTTGGCAGAATAACATTATCCAAGTTATATGTGGATGTTTTACAATGCATTAGTTTTTGACAAATCCCAAGCATGACATCAGCAAGGCACCATAATAATAGAGTTCTCCCAACGGGATGGTACTAAAGCAAAAAGGAGAGCAAACAGCGCCACTAGTGTTGAACCAAAATAAAATGGCTAAGTACATAGTTGCAAACTCATGACTGAAGAAATCACGCGCACCATGGGGTGAAAAGTTTGTGACGGACTTCTACAGTGATTTGAGCAGTAGTGCCGGTGTAAGCAAACTTTTGGTGCAAGGCAAGATATTCATTTCTGCCTATATCAAGTCATCATAGAAACAACAGCAAAACAGAATATGGGACATTTGATTGTAATATGCAGTTCAAAACCAACTCGCTGGCTTTGTTGCAAGAAGACAACTTTGTCACTGTTACTAGCTATCTCGCACTGAAATAACTGGAATAAACATTCAGTCTTTGAAACGTGCACTCCTCTGATTGAAAACAAACTTGTGAAACTTTTGTAATACTGTGAAAAACTGGGTCATGAGTACTGCCCTGTTCTATAACAGTTTGATGCGCATCCTTACGCGCAACATCTAAACACTCCACACTTATACTTAAAGAGAAGCAGTAATTACTTTTGCGCAAATTGCATAAAATATATAGATTAGCACAGCAAAAACTTTTACTAAATTGACCTAATTGTGCCGGCAACATTGTCATGCTCTTTCTGTTCATTACTAAATTTAAATATTTGGGCAACTTGGCCACTTAAGGTCCTCTAAAAAACAGGTAAACTTGTGTACAAGCAATGGTGTAGTGTATTGTACCGTGAAAAAAGTATATATGCATGCATGCATACATACATATATACTTACAGGTGTCCGAAGAATTCCTCCAACATCATAATTAACAGCATCAGCCACAACTTCACCATCCTTCCTGACATAGTAGACAAGCACTCGTGCCTTTGGAGCCATGCGGAAAGTGGCAGAAAAGCTGAATCGGTAGCTCCGTACACCAGACACTGGAAGAGTCTGCGCATACACTATGTCTCCTCGCCCCATTACCTGCAGTACAAAGAAAAGCTAGATCACTAAACAGGCCACACAAGCTCAAAAATAAAGAATCCTATTGTTTTCATTACATATTTTATAACTATTCATTACACAATGACATTCTCTCTTTCTCAGTATCTATCTTCACACACTGATCATAGTCATTCCTTTTTGTAGAGCTTTCCATAACTCATTTTTAGCTACGACTTGTGAAGGCTGGAACTGATTTCCTGCTGTCAATGCCGACATTATCAAAATTTCTAGGTCACCTTTAGTTGTATTTAAGCTCCCTTAAGGTTTTTCCTTGTTTTCTTAAGTTTCCATGTATTTGTATTTAATATTGCCCTCTGAAGTGCTTCAGCACTGAGGGTACATTAAATTAAATGATATAAAATGAAAACATACTAACACCGAACTTTTGTACAATCTCCCAAAATTCTGGAAAATATATACATCAATGTAGAGAGTCTTAATCCATTTCTAAAAAATTTGACAAAAACAGAAGCAAAAAACTTTTGTATAATCCCCCAAAATTCTGAAAAATATATTCATCAATGTAGAGAGTCCTTATCCATTACTAAAGAATTTGACAAAAACAGAAGCAAAAAAAATTGAAGAGAACATAAAAAAACTATCAATTGTTGATGCAGTCTCTATAAAATATGCAATTTCCAAGTTGTGAACTTCATTCTGTATTGAAAATAAGAGGTAAAAGGTCATAATTAAACTATTAACTGATCCATATTATTTTGCTTATTTTCTGCTTTTGTGCTTGACTTCAAGTCAGAGAAAACAGTGACATTTACCAGTAAGATATTTGAACATACAAAAGCAGAAAAATTTAACAGCTGAACAACATATCTGCCAGTTTTTTCTTTCAGAGAGGGAGGGGAAAAGGTTGAAGTAAAGTCACAGAGCAACATAAATCTCACCTCATAGACAATATGGTCGAGGGTGTCAGTGGCGTTCACTTCAAACTCAACAATATCACCCACTTTAGGCTCCTCCGTGATCATCACAGCCTGAAGAAAACTACGACTAGGAGACTTGGCTGGATAGATGCCTTCCAAGTAGTAGGTTTGACCCCGAAACTCGGCTCGCAGACCCAAAATCACTGTGCTGTTTTCATTTGGTGGGAAGAACTCCAAGCGTATGACACCATTTTGTGGCACCCAATGCTGACTGCTCTGCCAGAGCTCTTCATTGAAATTGAAGCCATAGTGCAGAGTCAGTTGGTTCACTGCATCATTCACAGGGGTGTCATCCTGGTAGGCAACCTTGAGCTGTCGGTGTAAAGCCCAAGAACTTACATTGCACATTTTCCACGGGAAAGAAAAGGCCACAAGGCAGGATCAATTCTAACTACACTAAATAAATATGAAACAATCATTACATTCTCATCGTACACATCCTGTTTCATGACACATCTTCTCCAGTGTACTGCCATGCACGTTCATTGCTTTCTTTTGATGCATTCAAATTTCACCCACAAGAACTCCTAGCAATGCCGACCATCCTGCAAGGTTGATTGATTTGATTGATATTTTTAACACATGATTATGAGAAACGCCATAGTGGAGGGCTCCGGAAATTTCGACCACCTGAGGTTCTTTCACATGCACCCAAATCTGAGCACACGGGCCTACAACATTTTCATCTCCATAGAAAATGCAGCCGCCGCAGCCCCGATTCGATCCCGCAACCAGCGGGTCAGCAGCTGAGTACCTTAGCCACTAGATCACCACGACGAGGCCATGTCCCGAGGTTTGAGGAAGCTTAGATTGTTTGGGATGATTCTGTTAAGATTATACACAAGACACGAGTAGTTGAGTTTGTTCGCAAGTGTATGAAAACACACACAATAATGCTGGAAGGTTCAATGTTCGATGTATAAAAAACAACGCATTCTACCAATCAGATCATTCAACGTCTGACAATTGTGGACACTGATATTATTCCACTTCGAATGTTACTCTTTTTCTCGGTAAAAGTTTACACAAATAAAGAGTTCGATCTTTACCAGCTGCAGCTGCTTTCTTCACCATCCCAACAACATGATAATAAAATCCCAATGCTGCCAACAAAGCCATATCAGAATGTGAAGATTCTTTAAGAGGTAGAAACAATACATGCACTACTTAGATCAATCATGACACCGCTTTAGTAAGCACACACTCAAGAAAATTAAGAAAAATTTGATCACTTAGGAATGTACTAATCTTGATGTGGCATAGTTTGTTTATTAAATTCCCTTGGAATGTCTATTACATTTAAGAGCACCCAATTTATATTGCCCTATATTTTATTTCAGTAGCAAATCAAAAATGTTATCCATAGTGTGGTCTTTTGCTTCAGCATGCAAGGTGGGAAACAATCCATTTCTCTTCAGTTCATATAATAACTGAACAAAGAGAGCATTACTACAGCAAGGTTCTAATCTCACAAGGATCAACTAATCTATGATATTCTGCCATAGAAGTCCCGAACTCCTTTGCTTGCGACTTTTAGATAGCATATGCAGGCAAACAAGAAACAAGAGGGTGTTATTAATGGCTCAAATAACCATCATGCCTATCACTTAACACAGAATTACCTGGGGCTTCTGGTGACTTTTCCTTATGATTCTAGGATATGCAGTAAGGTCAACTTTACACTAGTATTAAGTGTATTTGCTTCAGCTCACAAGCTTGCTCTCCTTGGGATAACTCAAACATATACTTATTTCCAACACATCCTGCAAAAAGTTCAATGCATCCTAAAGGTGCTAATGTTAGCAGAGTACTAGTACAAAGATCTAGAACTGAATCCAACGTTAAAAGGGAACGTTACACATTTCCCACACATCTTCTCGTACATCTTTTAACACTTTGAGCTACAGTGAGGAAACGCAGCATGGTTTGGGATTGGGTTCCTTGATAGTAAGCTAGGCATGGCAATGACTTTCCACTTCGTAGAGACAGAGAAGGCTGCAGTAACTCACAAAGCAGGTATACTTGAGGCCTGGCTTGAAGGTTTCAGAAGTTTTCACAAGCTCGACTTTTATCTCCTTGTCATAGACTATGATGTAGCTTGTTGCATTATACTTGCGTCCAGTCAGCTCTTCGGTCACCAAGGCAAAGAATTCAATCTCTCGCAGAAAGAAGTCTGTCTTGAGGGAAAGGTCCCGTACAATAGCAACAGGTATGTCCACACTGCCATCAATCTAGAGAACAGGAGAAAAAGGAATTGTGTTATGTATCTCACACAATTTACCATGAAAATAGGCAAGCAGCTTTTCATGAAAAGGGAAAATTGCCATCCAATTGTTTGTAGCACCACCAAGCTACAAGAAATCTACGCATATCTTTTCAAGAAAGACTTCATATTTGATAAAAAAACTTAACCCCAGAGCCGGATTTTACCAACTGTGAAGCTTTATTTACAAGGAATCCATGTGCTTATAGCCTCGTGTTATAAATGTGTGCAATAATTTTCCCTTTTCATTAGACCTCCTCAGCCTTCGTTGCTCTTGCAGAACTAATTTACCATATGTGATTAAGCAAACTTCATCACTACTCACTGATGTCTTTGTCTGATACTGCTCATAAGGTCTTGGATTCAGTTGGTGGTATCGGGTGCGAGGAGTGACTGTCAGTGTAACAGTACCTTTCACTGGTTTGCCATATGTGTACCTGAAGACGTGAAATTCAAATATACATAAAATTCTTCATCTCATTCCATTATTAAAACAAAGAAGGGTATATTGCCAACCAGTAAATTACAATGTGAAATATAAACTGAGGGTAATGACTCACGTAGCTGTGACTGTCGCAACAACTTCCGACTTGTTGTAAGTGACATATGCAGGAAGGCCCACTTTAACCTCGAAAGTTGGCAGCACTGTACATGAGCAAAGCATGCAAAGGAAAAAAAATCGCAAGCACAGTTTTAGTTTAAATATTCTTGCAATAGCACGTCTTAAACCCCACAAAACAGAAAATAAGGAACTAACTTACCATATTCAGCGACCGTGAAACTCTTCTTGAATTTCTGACCCTGTTAAAGATTTCGAGAACCACTATCAGATATACACAAATTCTCTAAAGCTTCTAAAATTCAGTCAGCCATGTACAATGCTCCATCAAAGTTGCTGACACACACTATATATAATATATATAAATTCAGGTCACTGTATAGTCATGTGCAAACAAAAACTGAAACTATGATCACTCAGTGACCTAAAACGTAAATTCAATGAAAAAAAAGTAAACTAAGAGGATTCATATTATTAATTATTGAGGTTTAACATTTCAAAACCCCCATATAATTATGTGAGATGCCGTAATGAAGGGCTCCGGAAATTCGGACCACTGGGTGTTCTTTAGCATGCACCTGAACTAAAAGGATTGAGCAGATGGATATAAAATTTAAAAATCGGTTCTTTTTGACAAGAGCAGTCTGTATAGAAATATAAATTACAAAACAGTCACATTAATGTACAATATGCCTAAAGGCAAGTCCTCTAAATTTTCAATTTTTATTAACAATAATAATTGTTCAGGTTTAAAATAGGAAAACCATGATACGATTATGAGAGACATTGTAGCTGAGGGCTTCTGAACTTCCAACCACCTGGGGTTCTTGCACCTAAACCATGATATCAAGGGCCTCTAGATTTATTCTCTATTGAAAATGAGGCCGCAGCAGCCAGGATTCGATCCTGTGATCATCGGGTCAGAATTCGAACACCCCACCCCAAGGTGGGTTTTTCATTTTTCATCCAAGCTTCTTTACCCATTCATTTACAAACATGTCTTAGCTCATTTCTTAGTTCCCAGCAGGAAGGCTTTGCTTTAAGCTCTAAAAATCTCTATGCATAGATCATTGAATGGTTCACATGTATTACACGGTCATAGAACAGACCTAATTTCCCTTAGCTTTCCAAGTTATTGCGTGCACATTTCTATGCCCTACAAGCATTGCAGAACCATCATCTATGCTACTGAAACCACCTTATACTGCTCCATTATAGGTAATAAGGCTTGAAAATCAATGCAACCAAAGCAATGCTGCTAATAAATGCACAGAGCAAACAGCTAAGCTTTGCACTATATAACAAAAAGAACTTATAAGTTTATTTCCATTATAAAGAAGGCCATGACACATCTTCCAGCAAACATTGAGTGATTAGGTCAAAGGGACACTATAGTCAAATAACAGTTTACTTAAGTGAAACCTCCATGTATGACAACATCTAAAACGACAATTTTATCAACAGTGCCCTACTTACCGAGAAATCAAGGTAAATGCACAAGAACACATGCGCTGCAGTAGGACATTCTCAAAATGATCCCGATGGCATCAGACAGACCGCCTACAATTAATCACTAGTAATCAATCTAGCTGCACTAAATAAAGAACCTTCCGTGCATCAAGAGACGCAATAAAATGCCGTTTGTTCGTTTATGTTTGCTTCATGGAAAAAAGAACCACCAGACGGGGAATGGGGCATGGTTCATGGGAAATGGTGCAAGTGGTTCTAAAATTCAATTTTCGCGTAGTTACACTGGATAGGTGGTGCCATCTAGCAGGGCGTAGTTGAACCAAAAAATGTCTGCGATCTCTGCACCAATGGTGGGAAATTGATCAATGGCCATTGCTGCTGTGGCTTCTCCTGCTTTCAGTCTGCTGCTAGTAGCACGGAAAAACCGGGCAATGTTGTGCATGGAAACAGTGATGCGAGTCGGTCCAGTCGGTCCGCTTCTTGAGGCGGGTAATTTCAAGTGCGCTAACCCGATGCGGACCACTAAAATACAATTTTATTTTAAAATAGGCCTTTCCTTGGCACAAAAGTAACACTATGAGGTTTCTGGGCGGCTATTTCAACAATCAAAGTTGACTTAATAGTTGCCTTTAGTGTCCCTTTAAAGTCAACCACCAACAAATGCGGGTGACTGAACAAGTAGAAATATTTTGACTTCTATTCTGTGTCTGAATTTTTATTGCTCCTTGCTTCGTTTGATAAGGTAAACTCTTCCAGTTTTCCCTTGAAATTAACACACCTCTCACTCAGTCCTAAAAGTTCTATTCCTGGTGGTGAAGAAGTATACAAACAACAATTGAAAAAAAACTTTAATACTACCCTACGTTTCGAGTCAGCTTACTAATGACCACATACATTATTAATTACTCACTATTACCATGTGAACACACACACAGAGATTTAACTCAAATGATTCATTGTCAATTATTCTTACCAGTACATCCACATTAATAGTCCAGTCTCCAAGAACAGGTTGATCAGAAAGTTGGAGCTCAGATGAGTAAATGCCTGTACAAAGAAGTTGGCAAGATATTTTTTGAACCACTAGTAACAGAAGGCAAATACTATCAAATAGATGTTTGGTAGACTGATTAATAGTCATGCACTTAACAGAGATAATTTACGTACCTCGCTGGGTAAATACACGGTCCCACTGATGAATTCTGTTGCCCTTTGCATCCTGAAAAATATGCACAAATTTATACTTCACTACTGTGTTCTAGAAACAATCAGAAAAAATCATTTATAATTTACGCTTTTGCTAGACTTAACTTCACAGCAACAATTATGGAGCAACTACACAGCGGTAATGGCTAAAAAGAATAGAAGCATCCACATTCTACTATATTGACAACACCAAAACAACTCTTTATACTAATTATACATCATGACAAATTACAAACTTGGCAGAGTCATGTGCCTTTAGAACAAAGCACTTGGGACCTTCAAACTACTCGCCAGTGGCATAGCCAGGGGATAGCACACCGCGCTCGTACCCCCCCCCCCTTCCTCATACTGTTTCTCGCCATGGCATAGCAAAAAATTACCCTTTTAAAAAAGTGTGCCCATCCACTAAAAAAAAAAATTCTGCCTTTGTCTCTGCTACTCATTTATGAAGGTCACATTTTAGAAGTTTCAAACAGTCATGTTTACAATATAGGCAGAATGCAAGGAAACTCTCCCTATGCAGGCCATTTCATCGTAGAAATGTTTAAGTGTATGTGATGCTCATAAATTATGCATCAGACAAAAGCCATGTCTTGCTCTCTTTACTCTGCTAATACTTGTCCCACGAACTAACTATATGCCCTGTACTTAATGCCTTGCCCTGTTTTCCTCCTTTAGCATGAGTGAAGAAGAAAGGTTCTATAAAATAGCCTGTAGTATCCTACATACACTATTCAGTTCACTTTGTAATTGCTTCAGCAAAGACACTTTAAATACACTTTATCAAGAACACTACCAGACTTGAATAAGAGAAAAGGTTAGCACTCTTCCAGCACAGGTAAAGTTGTACACAATAACACCACATTTCAAAAGACAGAAAGCTCAAGATTGTGTACCAATAGTTCACATTAATGCAATCATTCTCAGTTTATTATATACTGCGTAAAAAAAATTAACTTTAGAACTAGAAATAAGAAATGTGCAGAATGTTTTATGGAGCACGGAGCTTGAAAGGCGCTAAATAAATGAGAGGGCAAATTGTCTCACAGCAATGAATACATCCATGGCACCAGTCACGGTTGGTAGGAGATACGGATCCACCACAATCACACGAAACAAGACTGAAAAGAGGAACAAGACTAACTTACTATGGTACTATAAGACATGACCCACGATCACAAGAGAAAGCAGAAACTCAGTAAACCCCATGGCTAATGATGAGAGACAAATATAGAGCATTCAATAGCTCTTGAGCAATGAACTTTTCTACATTTCTGACATAAAGAGCCAAGGTCAAGTTCAGCTTAACCATACTGTTTCTTTTCTCAGATTGCTATGAGCAAGCTAGTTCGGTCTCCGCCCAGCGACGTGGTTCTGGTAGGTAGCAGCACATATCCCGCTAGACAGCAAACACAGGAGGAAGTGCGTTCCATGCTCGTAAATTAGTACATAAACACTTGGAGCAATGCATGTTTCTAATAAAACTACAAACTTTTTATTGTAACTAGATGCATTACTATTACTTTCAGTGCTTCACTTTTTAGGAAAAATGATTTTTTCTACATCAGTGCACTAAGCACAAGTAAAAGAAGCACTAGTGACAGCTGGGATGCAACCCGCCCCCTTCCTGTCAATATTTAAAGCAACTGGGATACCCAGGTGTGGATGGAATTGATGAGGCACACTTATCACACAACTTTTGACATTTATGGAGTAACCCTCTTCTGAATACATTATTATTTCTAAGGAATTTCCACAGGATTTCAAGATTTCCCATTGTCGAGCACAAGGGGAAACAGGAGAGCTCATTACTGAAAAGCAGAGAGGCTAACCAGTGCATATTCACCTACATGCTTCTCAGCGGGGACATGAATGATAAAAAAGAGGAACAAACAAGAAAGGGAATGAAGTAAAGAAGCATAAAATATTAGCAGGGCTGCAGTGTGGACAACTGTTTCTTCTTTCTTAATTGCATACTTTTACAAAGTGAAAAGACTGGTTGTGTGTGCGTGTGTGCGTGCGCGTGCGTGCGTGCGTGCGCGTGCGTGTGTGTGTGTGTGCGTGCGTGCGTGTGTGTGTGCGTGCGTGCATGCGTGTGTGCGTGCGTGCGTGTGTGCGTGCGTGTGCACGTGTGTGTGCATGTGCGTGTGCGTGTGCACGTGTGTGTGCATGTGCGTGTGCGTGCGTGTGCGCATGTGTGTGCGTGCGTGTGCGCATGTGTGTGCGTGCGTGTGCGCATGTGTGTGCGTGCGTGTGCGCATGTGTGTGCGTGCGTGTGCGCATGTGTGTGCGTGCGTGTGCGCATGTGTGTGCGAGCGTGTGCGCATGTGTGTGCGTGCGTGTGCGTATGTGTGTATTTCATATGTTCAATCCTGGAAAGTGTGGACGCGAGCCCCACCAGCATGTAACTGACCCTGATATAGTAAAGAAGAAACTCGCATTAAAATATGCCTGTGAGAAAAACCTCCCAAATTCAAACAAGGCTACACCAAGACATGTCGCCGAAAAGATGTGCTTACCTTTCTGCCCTGGTTTGTAGACAGCCTTGTCTGTTTGCATGAAAACAGAGTAGCTCTTGTGCTCATAGGTGAGGTCAGTTTCATTTCGGAAGTTCAGACCTCCTGAGCCTTCAGCTGTAATTTTGTACTTTCCAGGGCCCCAGTCACCGATCTGCACGTTGATATATCATGATGAGATGTGCTTACTTTGATGAAAGAATAAATAATGTCTGTGGAACATTCAGCTAAAAAGCCATTTTTTTTCATACACTGTTCAATGTAACAGAGCTACTGCCCTGTTGCAGACAGTGCCTGTAAGCCAGGAAATTTGTATCAGTGAACACAGCAACACTTCAGACGAGCAATGTAAATGACACCAACTTTGAGAGGTTGGATATGCATGCAGTTAAACCTCAATACAATAAAGTTGACAAAATCTGCAATTTATTTCATTGCATTAAATTATGAAAAGTATAGCTACCAATAAATTCTTCTCTACACGAAACATTTGGTTCAAAAAGTAAGATAGTACATGTAAAAAAAACTGGCTTAAATCAAGTGAAAAAACGAGAGACGTGCCTATCACCTCTCTCGTTTGTTTTTTGTCGCTTTTTTTATAACATCTTGCAAAAAAGCAACTGCTAATGCTCGAGTGAGCCTCTCATGGGCGCCTCCCAAGTGGCTGGAAAGGTAGCAGATGACTCCCCTCCAGCTTTGGCATTTCGGTACGCTGAGGTGTCGTACGAGGCCATCATTCTTGTCGTTTGGGCACCATGTCTGCACACTTTGTCATGTACGGGTACACGAACTCTCACGGCAAGTGCGCCGTCAAAACTTTTTCGTTTTTCGTCTGAAAAGCGGTACCCACCACTATGAGAAAACAGCGCTTAAGAACAGGATGAATGTAGAAATCGCCGTGCTTTGTGTTCTTTCTTCGTCCCACAAATTAGCACTGTTTTATACCATATACCTGACTAGCACAGCTCGATCAAGCTCTAAACCATTTCTACACAGTATTGAAAAAGGAGATATACTGCAATCATTTCTGCGGTAACAATACATTTTCATGGCATATCATTACAGGACTCCTCTTCATTTGCCGTCTTGTGGGCTACACTCAGCAGCAGTCCAGCAACATGCCGACAAGATTGGCCGAGTATGCAGATATAAAAAACTTGTAGTAATATTCTAAAGTCAGCAAAAGAAAGTGGGACTCACTCAGACTCACTCAATAAATATATCGAGTGGTTTGGACCCACTCCGACTCAGACTCGCCAAAATTTTCCTGGGCCGAACTCACTCGGATTCACACTCGTGAACATTTTCTTCAACCGGACTCGCTCGAACTCGGACTCGCGGTTCGATCCGAGTCTGAGTGATTGATTGATTGGTATGGGGGGTTTGACATCACAAAACCACTATATGATTATGAGAGACGCGGTAGTAGAGGACTCCGGAAATTTCGACCAGCTGGGGTTCTTTAACACTTTCGCGACCATGGCTATCCCCATCGATAGTATGTTTTCGGTGTTTACAACTTGTATGTTTGCCCTTTTTCAAATGCTTTTGGACACCCTTGTGCTATCTAACGCGTAAAAGAAAAAGTATTTTATCAGTTTCATTTTTGTGTTTTTCTTTTTTTACCATGTGGTGATTTTAAAGTAGCTTTTCATGCGCACAAGTGAGCGTGCATAGTTTCAATCATGGCGTTGGTGTCACGTGTGACCACTTCATGAAAACGGCGAATTTCGAGGGATTCTCGTGCATGTGGGCTGGAATATTCAAATGACGACAGCAGCACAGGCTCGGAAGACAACATCCGACACTTTTGATTTCACGACGAGAGTTCGTCAAACGGCCCCGGAACATCAGTGGTCGTCCACCGGTGAGTTTAGCTTTCTGCTCGGGCTGTGTTATTGTAGGCGCGCTTCTGTGTAAGTTGACCCGATGTGTTCTGAAGTTTAGCGCTCTTATCTGCAGGGCGTCCACTTTCTTTGGGTGGGACTGCTTGCCGGCGGCAGCCCAAGGATGGCCGTTTCGTGCGTGGAGGCAGCCGGGAGTGAACCTTGGAGCCGCGTTACATAGTGCCGCACAGCCCTTCGTGAGCGCTGTCGACTTTTTTTTTTGTTGTTACAAGTTATTGGAGAGCTATGCAAAAGCACAAATAAATATGCTTGGACGTATATTTTTCAGAAGCTGACGTACAGCGAGAGAGATGGTTCTTGGAGGCCCCATAGTCCACCTTGATGCTCGTACACGAAACACTCTTCAGGGCTAACGGCACCAGCCAAAAGTGATATATATATATATATATATATATATATATATATATATATCAAGAATTGTAAATTATCCTATGAACAAAGAAAAGTTGAACAGAAAGCTCCCATTCAGCAGTCTCCATTCAAGGCTCTAGCCCTCTCTCAACAGAGATCGGAGGTCGATGTGGCAGAAGAGTTCTGTGCCAACTTATCTGGTCAACTCGCAGATCCCAACATCTCCACACTCTCACGTGGTGGCATGACATCACACAATCACCACATGGACCAATTTTTTTCTATTCATGAGCTTAAAGCAGCACTGGCTTTGTGTAGACGGACATCAGCACCCGGGCCTGATGGAATTTCGTACAGAGCACTGTGTCACCTTGATGAGTGTGCGAGGAGTGCCCTCCTCGAGATATACAACGATTCGTGGCGAGAGGGCACACTCCCAGTTAACTGGAAGACCAGCCATTTGGTTCCATTACTGAAGCCTGGCAAGTCACAATTGGTGCTCACATCATACCGCCCGATTGCACTGGCTAGTTGCTTGGGCAAAGTGATGGAAAAGATGATACTTGGATGGCTAGAATGGTTCCTGGAGCATCACAACACCTACCCGCACGCTATGACAAGATTTCGCCGTGGCCGGTCATCAATTGATAGCGTCATAGACCTGGTCAGCTACGTGCAACACGAAAAAGGCCGTAAGCGTCTCTGCACTTCTTTATTTCTTGATGTTAAAGGGGCGTACGATAATGTCACACATGAAGCTGTCCTCACCGCTCTCAAGGAGGTGGGTGGTCGGACGCAGCTATCTCTGTGAGCGATCCTCTGAGCCATCTCTCTGAGCCATCTCTCTGAGCCATCTCTCTGAGCCATCTCTCTGAGCCATCTCTCTGAGCCATCTCTCTGAGCCATCTCTCTGAGCCATCTCTCTGAGCCATCTCTCTGAGCCATCTCTCTGAGCCATCTCTCTGAGCCATCTCTCTGAGCCATCTCTCTGAGCCATCTCTCTGAGCCATCTCTCTGAGCCATCTCTCTGAGCTATCTCTCTGAGCGAAGTGTCACCATCCTCTGAGAACCGAGAATGGTGTCACTTCGCTACATTACAGCCACTGTGGTGTTCCCCAGGGTAGCATACTTAGCCCTGTACATTTCAACCTGACGCTAATAGCTCTCAATGAGCATCTGCCAAGTACTGTCAGATTGTAAATGTACGCGGACGACATCTACGTTTGGACGTCTGCAGTAACACGTCTACAGCTACGAGCGCGAATTCAGAGAGCTGCCACTCAAGTTGCTATTTACCTCCGTCAACGAGGTCTAGAAATTTCCTCCGAGAAATGTGCACTTGTGGCATTTACGCGCAAGCCAATGCAGAACTGCAGCATTCTGATAAACAGCGAAAGGATACGTCACCTCCGATCATACAAGTTCCTAGGTGTTATAATTGACAGAGACCTCTCATGGAGCTCACATGTATCATACATGAAAAGGCAATTGACAGGCATCTGTCATTTGTTCAAGTTCTTCGCTGGAAAGAACTGGGGAATGTCCACAACTGCTATGTTGCAACTATACAGGGTTCTTTTCCTTGGATTCCTTCGGTACAGCCTACCTGTGTTAACCAATGCAAGTAAAACAAGCATACGAATGCTTCAAAGTGTCCAGGCTCAAGCACTCCGGATATGTTTAGGCTTGCCACAAAGTGCGTCAACAGCGGCAACTATTGCCATCACAAGGGACAACCTCATCAAGACCCACATTAATGTGGAAGTGCTGAGGACACATATACAAGACCTTGCTCGAACTCCTCGACATCACCTAGCCTCTCTACCAGTGGTCCGACCATGCACATCTTACTGCAAAACAGTGACCGCACATGGTGAGTCGATCCCAACTTCGTTCTCTCCTGGCGCTAGACCTGCGACTCCGCCATGGTGCCTCGCTCAACCAATGGTTAATATTAACATACCTGGCGTCCATAAAAAGGCTAATTTGTTGTCACCACCTCTTAAACAGCTCACACTACTTCTCTTGTATACAAGACTCCACACATATATACACTGACGGATCGGTTCAGCCGGACAGCTCTACAGGAGCAGTAGTGATACCAAGGTTGGCCACGACAATTAAATTCAAGACATTTCACGCAACAACATCAACGGCAGCAGAATTGGCAGCACTTCGTGCCGCGTTGCAATTTGTAGTTGATCAACCTACACGCAAGTGGACTATTTTCTGCGACTCGAAGGCGGCACTGCAGTCTCTACTATCAGCCTTACGACGTGGACCACACGAGCAGCTGGTATAGAGATAGCAGAGGTTATACACCACCCGACTGAGAAAGAGCACCAAATTACATTTCAGTGGTTGTCCAGTCACTGCGGAATCATCGGCAATGAAAGGGCCGATCAAGCTGCCCGCTCAGCCCACACAGATCATAAACTACGACTACCACTTTCTAGGACAGATGCTGCACGAAAGCTCTGCAGGCTTGCTCGCCAGCAAACCACATCACAATGGAATCAGCCACACTTCAAGCATGCCCGACTGTACTCGCTTGACCCTACGCTAAGTCTTCAAGTCCCGTCGAGGCTTTGCCGAGCAGACCAGACCCTGTTATGTAGGCTATGGTTGAGCGTTGCGTTTACCAACACCTACGCTTTCCGCATTGGGATGGCCGACACCGCAGCCTGTGGCCACTGTGGCAAAGAAGAAACGATCCAACATATTCCTTGCGACTGCCTAGCGTATAGTAAACGACTATGCCTTCGCAAGGAACTCAGAAAATTAGATAATCAACCTCTGTCGGAGCAAGGAATTCTACAATATTGACAAGATGCAACTTCACAGAAGAAGACCCTGAAAGCGCTACTACACTTTTTGCAATCGACCGGCCTTACTG